GCCTCCGCGGCCTACGGCATTCCTACGGCCTCCGCGTTCTGGGAGCCTTTATACGCCCGTCTCGATCCCCGTGGTCGACGGCACTGTACGGCCTCCGCGGCCTACGGCATTCCTACGGCCTCTGCGGTCTGGGAGCCTTTATAAGCCCGTCTCGATCCCCGTGGTCGACGGCACTGTACGGCCTCCGCGGTCTGGGAGCCTTTATAAGCCCGTCTCGATCCCCGTGGTCGACGGCACTGTACGACCTCCGCGGCCTACGGCACTCCTATAGCCTCCATATGCCTTGATGTGTTGGAACCTGTATTGCCTTCCAGAAGGCATGAGTTCAAAGGCAGACGCCTTCGACCTCCTGGGCACGAAGGACCGATCCCGCCACACTTAATCAGGTACATGACATCTTTCTAAGATCTTTTGTGAACGTACCATGTTTCCTGTCTATCTTGAAGATCTAGCTTACATGTGAATTATGCCAACTCAAATACTGTAATGATATAACTCATCTAGCCCCAGATTCGGCTGATGGGCACTAATTACTCCTTGAAACCGTGTCGATAAGCTTGTGGGTCCGAAACTCATATGGTCTTGATTTGCCTGAGGGTTAGAAGCTCACGTGGCACTGATCAACCTTCGAGTTAACACTCGTATAGGTTGGACTTGCCTTCGAGTTGAGCACTTACACGGTGTCGATTAGACTTGGAATTATACGCTTCTACAGTTTAGATACACCTTTGAGTCAATAACCCCTTGCGGCATCGGCCATTTTCTAAGTTTTATGCCCAATAAGCTTCCGTTCGCTGGTGGGTTACTTACACCCGTAGTCTCGATCAGCCCTAGACTCGGCCTAACTTCGTCCGTGAAATCCTTCTGCTTTCTTCCTAAGCAAGGGGGGAGGGCTCCTAAGGTGGACGATGTTGCTTTTTATCGTAGCCTACCTGGGCAACAAGCATCAAGGCTGGGGGAGAGGGGCAAAGAAGTTTAAATAACACCTTTACTTCAAAATCCTCTCAAACTTTTTCCATTATCATCACAAAAATGATAAAGTTTCATGTGCTCACGTTCAATCGAATGGTAACGCAATGAACATTAGAAAACTAACACTGACTCGACTAGTCTTCGGGTTAGAAACTCACGCGGCGTCGGTCAACCTTTGAACTCTCTAATCATACGATCCTAACTTGGCTTCGAATTATACGCTCTTACATTTTGACCACCCTGAGTTAACAACCCTCACGGCCTCAATCAAGCCTCTTTATCTCATACTCTCTCGACTCCGGCTCTACCTTGAGAAAAGTACACACACGTACTTGATCAGCCTAGGGGTCGTACAAACTCTGTATTGGCTAAACACGGCCAAGGGACATTAATCACCTACGTAACTCCAATAGAGTAATTAGCCAACTAGACTCAAACACGTGTCTTATCTATGGAAGCAAGCTTATCCCAACAAGTACGCCGTCGACCCCGGTGGCCGATGGTGCTCTTTTGCGCCTTGGGCCGCGGAGCTCTCTCAAAATTGTGCCGACCCCATTGTTGACGGCACCTATTGCTCTTTGGGCTTACAACTTCTTTATTACACTGAAAAGTTATACAAGTTTCGTAAGCCCATACACAAAAAACACGCTTCTAAAACGTTTCTAAATATAAAACTTGGGGGGAAGGGATGATCACTATCCTCTAAACGTCTAACAAAAGTTTTATATGTGTGAAATGATAAATTAGTAGGCGTGTACATAAACAATCAAATGTCATAACAACGTATTCGAGGATGGAGCAAACAAGTGAAAGGAAATAAAAGGTAAGGAAGCGGGGTTGTTTTTTCAAAATAATCCATTCTATTCTATCACTTCCTACAAATACACTTGCCCTGGCCACTAAAGCCGGACCTACTCCCGATTAGGATGACCCTCGTCCTAACTCATGAAAGAGCTTAGTTGTATCCACCACTCAGCCTCGCATATAGGTGATCCAGGGTCGACCCACATTCGGGGCAAGGTTCGGGCCAGTAGGATCGGAAGTTGTATTCCTTACCTCTTTCCACGATAAAATGGGTAGAGTCTGTTAAAGCTAACCGACCAGTGTATGCCCGAAGCAACGATATTCTATCAAAGACTCCATCCCACTTCACGGCAACTAATGCTTAAGCCCGCCGAGGGCGAATCAGAACACTTTCATAGCAATTAAATGGGATGAAGTCTTCAGAATCAGGTTCTGCCTATCTAGGCGCCCGTTTTTCCGCCTGTTTTCTAAGCACCATATTAAGTCTTCAGCGCCATTGGCACCCCTTTACTTGAGTGACCTTCATATTACCAGGCGGTGGCAATACCTTTCATCCTTTCAACTCTCGCCCCCGAGAGAGAAAGCAATTCTTATTAATGTATCATTCGGGTCGAATCATAATCTCCGATGATGCATTGTTGACTTCACGCAAATTTAACGATAGTCTTCGATGGTGCTATTCGGACAACACTTTGTTATGCTCTGTCGCCATCTTTCTTATCAAAGCGTGACTTCTTCTCAAGAGTTTATATATATATATATATATATATAATACTCGGCTTCAACGACCAATGTCGCGCTAATCCTCCTGGCTCAGTCCATTATGACGCAGGTCAATGTGGGAGTCTATTTATTAACTCGTCTAAAGTTTAGGATAAGACTCCTCCTGTTCACCGGCGCTGGTGAATACTTTTCTATCTTCGAAGATGAAAGGGGCAACCTGTTTACCCCACCTCCTTCGAGTACAAGCGTACACTAATTATTCGTCTCGACAACATCCCTAGGCTTACTACAGGCCGCTGAGATTTATGTCTTCTTAACGACGCTGCTCGGTCCGTCCGATCGCTTACACACTTGTCCGAGAGTGCTAGCATGAGGATTACTCCTCTTCGCTTATCTGATGATTATCGCAAGTGTCCCTTTCCGAAAACATTATACGGGGGCAACTTCTTAGCTCTAATCACCTCTCCTGACGGTTGAACCTACCTACTGACTATTGACATTCCGATGATCATCGTACGCCTCTTCACTTATCGTCAGATTTCACATCTTGCTCACGGAACGTCCGTGACGCCTTCGGCCTTTATTGAAGCCATCACCGTTGGTTTTCGTCACTTGACGACTTAACCAGCGTCAGCTTATTCTGAAGTAAACTTTTGACTCCTCATTGGCCGTGTTCGGCTGATGATAACCTAATTCAGTCCGGTGGACCATCATAATCCACTCTTCATTGTCTCTACCTATATAATCGAAGCTTCAGACCTCTTTTGTGTCTGCAGGGACCACGGATGCCCTTACTATGTTATCCAACGTATCAGACAACATTGGACACTAAACTCTGGCTCCTAAGCAATTAAGTAATTCGATGATGATTTCCCTCGGTCAACCTTGGGCCGACATGGGTTGTAATGGACTTATGTTGTGTCCATAGAAACCTTTTGGCCCTCTTTGGACCATCATTATTAGCTTGGGCTACTCGGCTAATTCATTAGCATTGGTCTATCTCCAGGGAGCTCTTAGCTCCTCGAACGATCATCCTTGTGTATTGACATTCAGATAATGATTCTTCTACCGAATCAGTCTGCGCTGTGTCTTGGGTTCAGACACAAGGCTAGGTTAACCTCGGGATTGAACTTTTCCTTACATACCCGCTATTGACCGATCATGCAGCGGTTACAAATTTCTTTTTATCATGCCCCAACGAGGTCTTACCGTGTTGTTGTTCCAACCTATCACGTGCCGTCACAAGCTTGGACGTCACCTCTTCGAGAAGAATTCTTTGTCACCTTCTTTCCTTCGTGACCTCTTTGTTGGATCGGGAATAAAATCCTCAAACGATTTGCGCCCGCACAAGCGGCACACTCGGTTCCAGCTTATCTCTGGGCATGTACGGTAACCAAATGTGACGGTTCCCTCGACAAGGGTTCGACGTGACAATATTTTGCACTCCGATTATAGTTACCTGTTATTACTCTTCAACCATCACGAAGGGTTATGGGTTTATCCGATTAGGTGGACCCTTGAATGGACGGATCCCCCGTGAGTCCGCGCTACAGCTCCATGTTATTATTTGCCAAGTATTGTATTTGAACCCTGTTATTGCATATATGTGCTTCTCTACTAATACTTGGTAGGGGCATTTGTTGGAGGTGCAATTTCACATTGGGCCGACAACCATTCATGGGTCCGATAAATATTTCTTTATGGCTTATTGGGCCGGCTAAAAACCCTAACAATGGCCCAAGCCCATCATTGAAATATTTATTCTCTATCTATATATACCCCATTTTTGGTGGTGAAGAGTAAGCTGATTTTTACTCCCTTCCTAGCTCACATGCTTTATTTCTATCACTCCTTGGACTGATTTGCTCGTCGGAGTGCTAACGGATTTCACCCTCGACAGAGGCGATTTCTTGAAGGAGGAGGTGATTTTGGTGGCGATTTGAAGATTTTGTTCACGATTTTGGTGGTTATTGTTTTGATGTTTTTAGGATTATTGTTGTTGTTTTCTTTGTAAAAGTGTAGAATTAGGATGATTTATAAGATTTTAGAGTTGATGTTGGATGTAGTTGATGATTGTTGTTGTAGACGTGGTATTGAATGTTCAATTTAGTAAAATGCTTGAATTTGTCCTAAACTTTTGAATTTGTAGGGGGTTTAGTAAATTTAGTGTTGATTATGCCTTGTTTGTGGTAATTGTTATAATAATTTGTTTGATAATGCCTTGTTTGTGTATTTTTTTAATAATTTGTTCATAATGTGTTGTAATTCATATAATCAGCAGATATAAATGGCGTTTAACGGTCCATATTTTACTAATGTCTATTGGTCGAGCAAATTTGTTATGAAGAATGGGATTGTGAATACTTTTAACAACATGCCGGACGATTCCTTTGTGATTGATCATAAGATATTGTACAATGATTTGGTTGGATTGATTTGTGAAAGAGCGGGGTGGAATAGAGGGAATGTGAATTTGAGTCTATCGATTTTGTATGATAACGATGGGCAATGGTCATCGTTGCAAGTGTTGTATTTCCTCCCAAATTCGACATATATTGATTTGTGTGGATTTAGAGGTGGCGGGTACTTCTAGGTCCCATTTGGAAGTAGGGACAAGTAGTGGTGGGCCGAATGTGGAGAATGTCGATTACATGGAAGATGATGATGTGGGTGGACCGAATATGGAGGATGGCGACCACATGAAAGATAATCACGCAAAAGATGATGAGGACTACACATTGATAAGTGATCAAAGCGATGAAAACCAATCAATATCCGAAGGAAGTCGGGAGAGTGATGAAGAGATCGAAGACAAATTCGCCACAAAGAAAGATACATATATCGTTCACAGGGTACATGGGATCATACAAAAGTGGACAAGGATGAATTTCAACTTACCATGTGGGACGGGACAACCGCAACAATCAGGATAGGGACTTGTTTTAAGAATAAGAAAGGTGCAAAAAATGATATTGCAGCGTGGAACATAAAGAAAAAGAGAGAGTTTTATGTGAAGGAAAGTGATGGTTCAACATGGTATATTTGGTGCAAATCCCTAAAAGAGTCAACCTCTAAGGGTTATGTTCCTTGCCGTTGGAAGGTACGTGCCTCCTTGAGTGACCACGGTTTGTGGGAGATTGTGAAATGGGTGCCCGAGCACAATTGTATGAATGTCACTGAGGAAAATATTAATTAGAATGTGAGCGCAACGCTTATTACTTATCTCATAAGGCATAAGGTTGAGTTGGACCCGGATTATGAAGTGAAGCTCGTTCAGGAAGAAGTAAAAGACTGTACACATGTCAATGTTCCTTAGTACATGGCATGGGAGGGAAGGAGAAAAGCTATCGATCTTATTTACGGTGACTGAGTTTCCAATTTTGACATACTTCCAAGGTATTTACTTAAGTCCTATCTAATTTGTTTTATTTGTTTGTAATTTACTTTTAAAATAAGCATTAATTTCTTCTTTAATCTAGGTTTTTCGCCGCCCTAGAGAAGAGCAACCCCGGCACAGTTGTATAGTGGGAATGGCAACCGGGTTGGACCGATACAGAGAGGACGTTCAAATACGTTTTTTGGGCATTCAAGCTTGCAATTGATTGTTTTGCTAAATGTCCTCCGGTGATTAGTATCGACGGGACGCACTTGCATGGCGGATACAAAGGGAAATTACTTGCTGCAATGGTCAAAATTGTGAATAAGCGCATCCTGCCAATTGCATATGCGATCGTGGATGAAGAGAGTGAGGAAAGTTGGTCATTCTTCTTGAAGCATTTGAGGAATAATGTTATATCCGACTGTCCTGTGTGTGTTATATCCGATCGGCACAAGGGTATCATCAGTGCAATACACCTAATGCCCGAATGGAATGCATACCACCGGTTTTGCCTTCGTCACGTCCGTAGTAACTTGGTGGCGCGGTTTCGAAGTAAAAAGATCAAAATGTTGTGTTGGGAGATGGGCACAAAACTTTCAAAGTTTAAATTCAAAGAACTATGAAAAGAGCTACGTGATTTTAGCAATGATGCATATTTGTATCTCGAGGAGATTGATGCTTATCAGTGGACTCTTGCCAAAGACAAACACTATCGTTGGGGTAACCAGACAACCAACAATTCTGAGAGTTACAACAACGTCTTCAAGGGCGTTCGTTTCTTGTCGATCCGAGCTTTGGTGGAAGCCACTTTTATTAAGACTGTAGATTTGTTCTAGGAAGAATACGTGAAGTCGAGGAAATGTATTACGCCGATCCTAACTGACTTGTGGGAAGACTTCAAGAAAAAAGAAAAGAAAGCCGCGCAACACAAAGTCAACCGTTATGGTACTATTAATGGCATGTTCAAGGTGAAAAGTAGAGCCCGACTTGGTGGTAAAGGGGACAACACAAACACTATAAAATATGAAGAGAAGAAGTGTTCTTGCAAGAAGTGGCAAAAGTATAGGTTCCTTTGTACACATGCACTAGCCGTGTGTCGGAAGATAAAAGATCAACCAATCAATACGGTGAATCCATATTTCAGGGTTGTTGCTTGGCAAGACCAATTCAGTGGGCGCGATGACTTTACCCCGGTCCCTGATAAGAGAAGATGGCCTAAGGTTGGATGGAGACTCGTTCCTAACTACGAGCGAATTATTATGCATGCTGGTCCCGGTCGTTGGCAAAAAAAGAGATTTAAAATGTAAATGGATTATAGGGGATGCAAATCGAGAGGTGAATGTTTGAGATGTGGCTGAAGGAATCATTTCACCAATGCGTGCCCAAAATCACACAAGAAATCCGATAGGACAAGGCTCAAGATCAATTGGGACGCCGATGGTATTCACAACGACTATGATTATTTGGTTGAATTGTTGTTTCGAATTGTAGTTTATGCTTAATGAATTAGTTCGTTTAATGTATTGTTGTTGTGTTTTTTGTAGTTTTAGGGTATAAGTCGGATTTTCTAAATCCGAGTTTTTAAGAAAATCGGATTCCAAAAATCCGATTTAGCGCCTCAATCAGATTTCGTAAATCCGACCTTGGCACTGTTTACTCCAAGGTTGGATTTTGGGATGAAGGTCGGATTTGGTGAAATTTGAAGCCAATTTCCAAAACTCTCTGTCCAAGGTCTGATTTATAAAATTTGACCTTCCCGTATATTGAATAAATCAGATTTTGTGAATCCGATTTTTGGGGACTATATATATACTTGACCAAAATTTGGGGAGTCGATTTCCTTTTTCCCCAAACCTAACCCCCCTTCTTCTACCGGTGATTTCCAAACCCTCCTGGCTGGAATTCCCCCGCCCTGGGATTGGAATCCCTCTCCCGACGTTTCTCCTCTGCACCGGCGACTCCTCCCTAACCCGATGAATCCTCCCCGGCGACTCCCCCCTGCCATCGACTCAAATCCCTCTCTCGGTGTCCAATTCTCCTTCCCGACGACTCTGGTGTCTTTCCTCTGCACCGGCGACCTTCTTTTGGGCGTTATTCCCGGCATTATTCCCACTAGTGCACGGTTGGTTTTTTTTTTTTTTTTTGGACGCCGATGGTTTAATTTTTCTTTTTGCTTGTATTTTGCTTATAAAATTTGCAATAAGTGGATGGTATTGATATAATTACGGTGATATCTAGTAATCATGCTAATAGTGGAATCGAGCCTTTTACTGATAAGGGTGTGCAATTCTGTCGTAATGAAAATTCATTTCATGTGGATCCTGGAGAATCAGATGCTCTATTAATATTGCAAGTGTCGATGAGTTTCTGCGTTATGATGATCGTTATGCTTTTGTTCCACTAAGTGGTAACTATATAATTCTGAATATGGTTAAAAGTGATGATATTTCGGTTCATTTTGGTGAATTGAACGAAGCTGTGATCAGACCTGCCTGTAGTGGTATTCGTATGCTGTTTAATTTGCTTATGAAATTTAGAGTTCTTTAATATGCATGTTAGGTGCTTGATTCCCGCATAGTATTAGTATCGGTGTAGTATTGATGAAGGTTGTTTGGATGAATGTTGATAGTATTGGTATTAATAAATGTTGTAGGATTAAAAAATGGAGGGTTCGAGCTCTTCGCAACCTACAATGCAACATTTTAATCCGGCTCCAATAGATGACTCCTTGTTATACCTTTATGACCATCATAGGGCAAAAGCCATTTTCGAGAACCATGAGGCGTTTGGTAAAGCCCTTAAAGGTAGGAGATTTGATAGTTATTTTTGGACCTTTATAGAGAAACCTAGCAAACATTGCCCTCCACAAGTTATAGAAGAGATAAAGCGGGCAGGATTTTGGGGGAGTGATCCAACTAGGTTATATCCAAGCGGACAATTGTTTGATCACCGCAATGGTTGAGAGGTGGCAGCCTGAAACCCATACTTTTCATTTTCATTTTGGCGAGACCACTATCACTCTAGAAGACGTTGAGGTGTTATTAGGTTTGAAAGTGGATGGTAAGCCTGTGGAAGGGATGGAACCTGAGAATTCTATGGCACAGTGGATGACGATGTGCTTTAGATTGTTGGGAATTACACCCGTTAGTGATTTCTTTGATGGGAATAAGATTTATGCAGAGTGTTTAATCAACGAGTGAAACTTCCGATCCCAGAAAATGCTCCAAGAGAGGCCTATATACAGAGGGCCCATGCCTTACTTTTAGTACTGATTGGAGGTTTCTTGATTCCTGACAATATTGGAAACAGAATACCGCTTTTGATCTTGACAATACTAGAGGATTTGGATGTCTGTGCTACCTACAGTTGGGGGTCAGCTTTGTTGGCGAAGTTGTACTTTGGTTTGTGTCAAGCTTCCGCGCCCGGGAAGAAAGACATTATCGGATGCTATATGCTGATGCAGGTAAATTTTTTTGTTTGTTTATTTATATTTTTTTATTATATTTTTGTTTGTTATTCTAATTTGTGCCTTTTCTGTTTGATTTAAAATTTCAGTTATGGGTTTGGGAGCGTATCCCAAGACTTCAACCGAAGGGAAAAGTTAAAGATCAGAGTTATTTGATGCCGGACGCTCCACTAGGCAATAGGTAATTATAGATTTAATTTATTATTTTTTATTATTATGTCTCAAAACAATGGTTTTTTAACTAGAATTCCTTTTCTTCATAGGTGGAAATGCCCAAAATCCAAAGCGAACATCGCCGCTCATTGTGTTGCTGGCATCAGGGATCAGTTATCTAGCCTAAGGGATGATGATGTAAGTATTGATTTTTATTACTTGATAAGATTCCTTTTTATTTTTTTCTCTATTTTTTTTACCAATTTTTTAATTTTGGCCAGTTTCTATGGACTCCATACACTCCCCTCATCGACGCTCTCCCTGATTTCTGTAAAGCGGGGGTTCATATCTACCTCTGTAGGACGTGGATTTTTTGTTGGGCCATTAGAGAACTATACGAGCCCAATCGGGTCTTTCGTCAATTTCAGTGTAAGCAAAATGTACCAGAGTACCCGTTAATCAATGACATTGATCGCTGGAATGTAATACACCACGGATGCCTTGGGACTGGAAAGACATATGATGATTGGGTGCAAAAACACACCGAGGTACGACCTCATTGGAATGTGAGAGATAAGCACGTGGTCCCTCATGAATTGGTTGCTCCGGAACTAGGTCCTCAGTGCACAGCAGACTACATACCGTGATTTCAAAAGAAGACTATCCGATTTATGACTGATCCCACTCAATACGGCCCTCTGGCATAGAGTTATCACTCGTCTTCATCTCTGGAGAGATTTTATGTAAGATATATGTCGATATTTTATTTTAAAATTTTTCTATTTTTTAATTCTTGCTATATCTTATACTTTATTAACATGGTTCAATTTTTTGCAGTCTTCAAATCTCAGTGACGTATATCATCTCGCTGATGCAGCCTTACGAGAAAATCCTAGCCTCGGTGGTAGTCTAGAGGATAAACTCTTGCAAATCTTCGATAAGAGTTTCAGTGCCCTGACTTTGGGCCCACTTGATATGAGCACTCAGAACGATACTAAGGTTCTTCAGAAAAGACCACCGGAGTCAAGTCAAACTATTGTGCTCAGGCAGAAAGCAACATCGAAGCCTACTGGAGGAGGAAGGAGGAAGCGACAGGGAATTTCAGATCGAACAATCATAGTTCATCCCAATCCAACTCCTATGCAAGAAGATGATGAAGGCAATGAAAGCGATAAGGATTACTACATTGGGGGCGAAGGAGAAGAAGAAGAAGAAGAAGAAGAAGAAGAAGAAGAGTCCCCTCCACCTCGTGTTTCTTCTCAAAAGAAAAAGAAAACGTTCGAGGTTCGCAAGAGTGATAGGGTTAGTGAACCGACCGAGAAGTATACTCCCGGTTCCGAGGTTATAGGGAAGAAAAGGTCGTCCAAATAATTCAATTGTAGGACTCTTTGATGTGTATTAGGAGTTATTTGGATGTTTTTTATGATTTTAAACTCTTTAATGTTTAGAGTGAACCTCAAAACAAGTCATCAATCTTTAATATATTTCCACTCTAGGTCATCAATTAAATTTATTTGTAACACAGGTTACCTTACTAAATTTCACGGCCAAAATTAACAAAATAATCTGAAATGGATTAAAACTTTAGTAAGGTAACCTGTGTTACAAATAAATTTAATTGATAACCTAGAGTAGAAATATATTAAAGGTTGATGACTTGTTTTGAGGTTCACTCTAATGTTTATTAGTTGTAATTTGGATTATTTTGGAATTTGAATGCTTTTGAATTTATTAATGTTTGTTACGATGTGTTTCGAATGTGTTTATAGGTAATTTTATGCGTGAAATTTGGTTTTGGTGCTGTTGTGATAGGTTGGGATTGGTTCAGAAACCAATCTTTTATTTTTTTTTCCAAGTTTCTGCCCAAGGTCGGATTTCTGAAATCCAACCTTTCTCTGTTTTACTCTGACATCGGATTTTGAGAATCCAAACTTACCTCACCCGGATTCTCAAAATCTGATATAACCGTACCCGGATTTCAGAAATCCGACCTTCACTTAAAATTGGATTTCTAAAATCCGACCTTGGTCAAAATTTCAATTCCAAAAAAAAAACTAAGTGTTTTTCTTCAAAATATTATATTTTAACATGACAGTCTTGATTACTGTAATTAATTTTTCGTATTAAGGGCAGGTCGGATTTTGAGAATCCGATTTATGTTAAAAGTCGGATTTAGGAATCCGATGTCAGTATATTTCTCTTCCCCAAAATTCGACCTATATTTCTCTCTTCTCCTATTTCTGGGCCAATTTTTTGATCAAAAACTCCTCGATGAGATTTATCCAATAAGATACATTTCAAATATTTTTTTTGAGCTTAAAAACGATCAAATTTTGATGGGCAGAATAAAGATGGACATCCAGTTTAAAAATATGGATAATCAATTTAGTTTATATTGATATTCTTGTATGTAATATATCTTTTGCTCTGTAAAGAATTAGAATACGAATTATACATGAAATTTATAGTGTTCGATGAGATCTATCCGACAAGATCAATGTTGAATATTTTTTTTGAACTTTAAATGCATTTAAATTTTACGAGCAGAAATGAAGAAATATGTTTTTTTTTCAATTCTGAAAAATGGTTATCCGTTGTGTTCATATTGGTTATCCAACCGGTTTGGACTGATTCTCTATTTTATTTGTACTAATTATCCAATCATATCTTTGACATTCATTCCTCTTCAAAAAAAAAAAGAATAAAGTATTTGGATAAGTATTATAAATAATTTGGATAACGAGTGAAAATAACTGGATAAACAGTACAAACTAGTTGGATAATTAGGTATAAAAACATTGGACAATCATTTTCATAAAAAAGTAATGGAAAAAAAAAGTTGGATAGCCATCACCAAGAAGTTGGGTAATCAGTATGAACACATTGGACAGATATTTTCTCAAAAGAAAAAAAATTATGTTTGAATAATCAGTGAAAATGATTGAATAACCAATACAAAACGGTTGGATAGTCAATATAAAAAAAAGATAGACAAGGATTTTCGCAAAGAGTAGACAAAAAAATGGTTGGATAATCTTTATCAAACAGTTGGATAACCAATATGAACGCGTTGGACAACCATTTCTTTTTTCAAAAAAAAATAAAAATAAAAATTAGGTTGGATAATCAATACTAATTAATTAGATAATCAGTACTAACACACATTGGGCAATGATTTTCTAAAAAAAAAAAATTAGATAACCAATACAAACGAAATAGATAATCAGTTCAAACCGGTCGGATAATCAGTATGAACACAATGGATAACCATTTTAAGAAAAAAACTAGGTTAGATAAGCAGTGCCAATTAGTTGGATAACAAGTACAAACACATCGGACAAGTATTTTCATAAAAATTAAAAAAAAAAAAGAAAATAGCTGGAGAAACAATAGAACGAGATTGAATAATCAGTACAAACGCATTAATTAGACAATCAGTTTCTCAAAAGAAAAAAAAAATTATTGGACTAATAATACAAATTTATTTAGACAAGCAGTAAAAATAATTGGATAACCAATACAAAGCAATTGGATAATCACTGCGAACACATTGGATAACCGTGTTTCAAAGAAAAAAATGATTGGATAAGCGGTATAAACAAAATGGATAACCAGTATTAGCGTATTAGATAATGATTTTTTTCAAACAAAAAAAACGATTGAATAACCAAACAAATAATTTGGATAAGCATATAAATCCGTTGGATAAATAGTACATGTAAGTTGGATAGGCATACAAACGAAATGGATAAATATCTAGTACAAACAAGTTGGATATCCAGTACGAACAAGTTGGATATGCATAAAACCCGTTAGATGACAACTACAAAAACAAGTTGGATAGGCATGCAAACTAAATGGATGGATAAGCATTACAAACAAAATCGATAATCAGTTTAAAATGGTTGGATAATCAATACGAACACAATGGATAACCAATTTAAAATAAGTTAGTTATCCATCTTCTTCAACTGGATATCCATCCACCTTATTTCTGCCCATTAGAATTTAATCATTTTTAAGTCCAAAAAAAATATTTCACATGGATCTTGTTGGATAGATCTCGACGAATACAATAAAATTCATGTGTAATACGTTTTCTAATTCTTCACGGATTGAGAGATATGTTCGTCTAAAGATTAGAGATGTTTTTTAGAGGAAAAAAAATGACAGGGGCTAAACTTACAATATATAAGAATATTGAAGAAAAATACAATAAAAACTACATGTGCAAAAAATAAGAGAGAGTACATGCTCCCAGTTACACTGGATAAATTGCCGTCCGAAAGTTTGCAACAATTTTTTCTTTCCCAACTCCATTTGTAATTTAATTCTAGTAATATTCTACTTAAACTTACACTAACTTTTGTTTTAAAATATGCCGATTAAATAGAACGAATGGTGTATTTCATCAAAATAATAAATTAATAATGTACCCCATCTTGTATTCCAAAGCAATAATGTATTTCCTTAGAATTTCTGGCCTTCTACATTTTTTTTTTTTTTTTTTTTGAAACTACCTTCGACATCTTGATCTACAATGGTATTCGTTAGAGTAAGTGGATGGTAGAAGATGGAATCTGGGAATTCATTTTCTTTTCTAGTAGGCGATCTGCAGTAGTACGAGACCCAAATTAAAGTAGTCATTCATTAGTCAGTTCATTTAAATGAACATCATAGCAACTGCACTCTGGGATCATCATCCACACGGTTGCTATAGAATTAGTAGTATCAGTCAATGTTTGCAATATACTCTAATCCATGTACAACGTAGTCATCTTCTTTATGTCCTAGGTTGTGTATGGGGTTGCGAGGGGTTGATGAATGGAAGTTTAAGTGGTTGGATGTCGAGGACAACTTGAAGTGTGTTTATAAGTATGCTGTCCATGTGAGTTGCAGAAATATACCACTCAACGAGAACTCGGTCGACTCGCTCATCCAAGTAAGCACAGGTGCACAGGCGTGGATCATTGTCATTCCTTAATATCCTCAGTATGCATCTCAAAAGTATAGGTTACACCTGGGATTGTACCTTCACCAGAGTGCCTTCCTTCAATCGAGTATTGAAGCGTACCCTTTGATGTTTTTAAATTCGGTATGCATCCCAAAAACTGAATCATCTAGCTGAGAACTTTGCCAACATCGATCACAGCTACACCTGTTGCAAATCAAAACAGTTACAAGCTACACAAGAGGCTCTTACAGGTCACATCCATAGCTCAAATGTGTCAAACAAAAATAATTTACTACATGATAACATGGGAGTAAATGAGGTGGCGAGAAGACTACAAAACTTGTCGGAAGGACAGTTGCTCATGTCAAAAAATCTCAAAAGACATCAGAACAGAAAAAAAAGAAAAAAAAAAAAGAAAAAAGAAATTAAACTGCTCACAATAACATGTAAAGACTCCAGTAACATGCAAATTGCTTAGAAGACTATGCACACGTGGACTAGCTTTCATGTGATAAGCTTATCAGTTGAAGTCGAAGGCTTGATCCCTGGGAGTGAAAATGTGCCCAAAACAACGTAAAGTTAAGGTCAAATTTGATCTATAAACTACTCCAAGTACTTGTTCAAAGTTCAAACTATTAAAACAGCATAAAGTCAGACCCAGCAGCTGATGTATCACTGGAAAAATTCGTGAGTAGTTCATCAACCATAGGGGAGTTAATGAAGAAAATCTGGAACATGAATGGAAAATTGGCTAACAAATGCAACTGTAAGAAATATGCCCAAAGAACAACAGATTGACAAATTGATACTCACAGTTGGCATCAAAACTGACGAGAGAATGCTCTTCTGTGCTTCTGTAGGATTCACCAACCATTTGCAAAACAACCATGCGGCCCCAATCACAGAAAACAGTGAGAGTGTAGCTAAAATTCCAAAGTGTGAGATGTCATTTGCAATTATTGCTACCCCTAACATAACAGACTCAGCCAAACTTGCAACAGAAACCTCAGTTGTCCCTATAAGGTTTGCTTTGGATTCTGGAATTCCGGTTTGTAAAATTTGTTGGCCAACAATGTCATATGACATCTGCCCCAATCTTGACAATATCTGCACAATGAAGGTTCATATGTGATAAAATGCGAAAGAATATAATAAAAAAAAATATATCACAGTGTCCACTAACAGTTTGCATATCAGTCAATCCTTGCATAAAAGAGACAACAATAAATAAATATAAGTTACTGCATCAATATGCCATGTCACATTTAGCAAAATATATAGGTTGACAGATGAACTTACAATCATGAATAGGAAGATCAAAAGTGGCCTTTGCTGAGAAAGAGAGCAAGTCCAATATATAGTGAGGGCTGCTGTTAGAAAGGAAGCCTGAAATATAAGTCCAGTCGCTCCAGCCTAGTAAAATTCACAAGAATTAAGCACAAGTGAGAAAATAATGTAAAAGGACATAAAACAAAAGCAGTTATGTCTTAAGAGCACAACCTTTAAAATGCCGAGCCGCTTCACTAGAGTTGCTGAAACAAATGTTGCTGCAACACCCATGAAAGCACATAATCCACTAAATCCCCCAATGACAGAGGGATTCAAACCTACAACAGTAAGCACATGTTAACTCAGTAGATAAGAAAGCTAAGAGACATCCACACCATCTCTTCTTTGTTAGGACAAAAGCGACGATAGAAAGAGGACCAACTACAGTAGGCAGATAAGTCTCCATGTCTCCAGACAAATACATCACGTACAATTATATATTCCAAAATTATGTTCAATAAACAACATAGATTAACAGAGGCCACCTGGACCCATGGAAAGTACAATCTGTAGCATCTCCTTTTAAAATTTTCACAAGTAACTCTCTGATTCCAAAGTATGCTTTCTTCAGTAGTACTTTTTGTTCAAGTAGAAAAAATTTCCAAATACATGGCTGTTAAAAGTAGTTTAAGAGTAGCAAGGGCAAATGACGGCAAAAACTCAACTCAAGATACATTGACAACCAGATGTACCCTAGTTTGAAGACACAAGATGACAAGAATCAACTGCAACGTTAAAGTAAGAGGATACCTTGCTGGGTTAAGAATGCGGTCATCAATTCGCTAGGGGCAAGAACAACATTGAAACAGAGCAGCACATACGATAGGCTAGCTGGAAGGACAGGCTGGTGCAAGTATTCAACCAACCCATGCTTAATAGCTTCGAAACCTCTTTGCACTAACAGGAAGGAGTTGAATCAGATAATATTCACAACTTCCTGAACAAAGATTACTTATGAAGTACTTCTGAGGAGAGCTTACTCATGTCTTGAGGATTTGGCAGAGATTCAATTTCAAAATTCCTACAAGTTGATTTTGATCGCTCTAGAACACCAGCAGATAGCTTGTTGGTTAAGCATGTGAGGAAAACCTGAATTTATTGGTAAACTATCAACATAAATGATGCCGCTAGAGACAATGAGTAAAGGGAATCGAGCATTGTAAAATTTACCGTGACTGGAAGAGTAATTATCATCAGGCCAGCAGCTAGTTTCAAGCAAGTCACAGGGGCATAAGTTGACAAAAGAATACCAAATAATGAAGCTCCTGCAATCTGCATTCACATAAATCTAAACTCATCAGACAAAGAAATCAAGCAACATTTCGTTCCATTATCCACATCACGAGTTCTTATATATCATATCTTAAAAGCAGCATAAACAAACTTAACATTAGTTCAGCAAGAAGCAATGACAGAACCCGCCCCGACAATAAGGGAGTTAACATAGTAGTAATCACCTCGCAAAGGCGATCGATTCGGCTGATAATAGCATTCGCTTGTGCAAGAGCAATTGGCCGGTTGGTTCCTGCTAACTGGAAAAAACCAAACGGTCAACAATGACACTGCTCAAATGAGTAGAAGAAACCCTATATACAAGAGTTTTCTATATGAAATAAGACAAACATAGAGAAGAATCAGCATTACCAGAACAACCCAATCCCGTTCAATGGCAACTCCGAGGGCCAATCCAGATAGTCTCTCCACGGCCCCAGCTAAAACAAGTAGAAAAAACCAAGGCCGAAGAAGAACAGACGACTCCAACGAGGAACTAAGAGTGTGAGCACAAATTATCATTCCAACTGACAACAGCTGAGCAGCTGCCTGACAGCAAAAAAGAGGTATTAGAAAATTTCAGCGAAGAAAGGTTTTTGAATCATGAGTTGTTGATGAATAGCAGCAAGAGTACCTGGACAGCCGACAAACAGTTGTAAGCTGGTATTCTGGGATAATGATCCATAAGCTTTCCAACCAGAGGACCCCCAACAATTACAGCAAGCTATTGAGAAATAGCAAAACAGAACGTAGTGAGATCTCTATCCTGAGCACCACTTCTATTTAACGACAGGGCCCCACCGCCCCCAAAAAAAAAATATATATATATATATATATATATATATATATATATATGCGTATGTTCTCCACAATATGCTGCCCAGTAATACCTTACTGAAAAACCCAATTAAAGCCACAGGGAGAAGGCTTTGATGAAGCAAAGCTATAGCAGCAGGCCAAGCAAAGTTCCAGAGCTGTTCCACCAAATTCCCAGCCAAGCAATTAGCATACAAAGCTGGTTCATTTAATACAAGTAGGTCAGCAGCTATCGAATGAATTGCCATAGAATGTTCCGTTTCTTCTAAGAATACAGTGAATATAAGAAAAATAAGAGGCACCAGAAACAAAGTTCTTGTACCACACCACAAGGGATATGTATGAAGCTTCAAAAGTATTAATGGTTACTAATATCCAGTGATTTTAGTGCACAACAAGATCAGATGTTGTGATTTGTGGTATCCTTGATGTACAAAGAATGAGATGCGTTGGAATACCATGCATTGTTAGTTTCACATGAGGTAGAGTTTCTAGTTATCACTTAAAATCAAAATCTTTCAGAGTTCTGCAAAGAAACATTAAAAAGTGAAATTTATCCAGTGTTTTCCAATCTTCTTGAATTGAAAATGGGTAAGCTTGCTTCATTTCAGAATCTCCAACTAACATATAGTTCATGCAGATACCAAGAGCTAGAAATAATTAGGATTGTACTAACCATACAATCCTGCAGGATGGGCTGGAGTAGCGGCTATAATATTCTGCTCTTCCTTTGACAAAACCTATTAACGCAGGGAAGAAAAGCCAAGTAAGTCACAATTTACAAGAATAAGAGAATGCTTAATGAGCAATTGGCTATCTAATACATACAGGTAATGCTGTCAAAAGCTCATCTACAAATGTCTCCTGAGACAATAAATTGAGTGCTTCAGTCTCCAAGACATCTGGATTTAGCTGGAGAATCGATACAGGACAATTCAAATCATCAGTTGTGGGATCTTCTGGAATTCTTTCAACAATTTCCACGGGACTGAGAACATCAATATTTGTGATTGAACACTTTCGATGCAAGTGCTCTAACCTGTGACAATTTAAAGAAAATTGAAATTTCAATTCCCATTATCAAAGTTAGCAGGCACTTGCCAGGTCATGCTTAAAGAAGAAGACATCATTAAACAGTGACCAAAAATGAAATTAAATTCAAGCCTTGAAATATCATCCTTTCCTCAGAACATTATTCTTGAAAAAGTTCTCACTAAGTTGAAATCTCAAGCAGGAGGAAGAAAGTCAGAAGCTGCTGCATTCCAACAGGTCATAGTTATGATACTCCATATTTCAAAGACTTACAATTCTCAATATCTCATATCCAATAGCGTATGCGATATCAGTCCTGAACTCATATAAGCAAGTTCTTCCTCCCCCCCAATCTTTCTAATAACCACAAAATTCCCACATTAGATCCTGATCAACAGAATTATATGCCTTCAATATCAGTGTATAACGCATACCATATGCATTTCTTGCTTTCCACAACTAGTTTGCTCCAAAAATTGTTCACACTCTTATTAAAAGTACAACATTTATTGCAGACATCTTCCGCACTAAACCAAATGACAGTGTTAACTGCAGGAGAAAAGATAGGCTGCCATGAAATTTTTAACTCGCCATACAGGTAACATGCTTGATTACATTGTCGAACCCCAAAGCAGAATTTATATCCCAGTGCTTATGGCTTCCATAGGTATTAGGATCCACAGTTCAAAATCCAGAACCCATCGCCCAACTTCAATCAGAGCCAACTTCAATCCAAAATGCAGTTCAGTTACTATCTTAAGGTTATTACACCAATTATCACCAAATTGCTTAAGAAGCAACTTTTTTAGAACCCATCACCCAAAATTTTCCAATTTCATTAATCAAAACAAAAAGAAAGAACAGAATACAAAGAAGAAGGAAAAGGGTACCTATAAGGGATAAATTTATGAATCAACCGTCGACGATGAGAGAAGCGAGAGCGTATTCTAAGACAAGACGACGTCTGATAAGGAGCTTGGGGAAAACCGCAGCAGAGAGTAGTAGAACACGAAACATTGTACTGAGAATTAGCAATGACAACCGCGCCCATGGCTGCTGCTGAATTTGTAATTTCTGACGATGATGATGATGAGCCTCCAAGAACACTGCCTTGAAGCACCACTTCTTCTCCGCTTCCTGACTACTCATGCAGCCTTCTCAGCTGGATATTTTCTGCTGCATACAAAAAATACAATCTTCGTCCCTCCTTCCCTTCTCGGGCCAATTCCAGAAATTGAAACCAAAAAAATGGGATTTTCCTTTCTGGGTTCGTAATCAAATGTCTTTTTGAGTGAATAATCTGATGGTAATCAATATCAAATAGGCAAAGAACCATAAGAACGTGGGTTCTTGATGATGAATTTTGTGGGGTGAGGATTTTGAAGAAATGCAAGAGCAAGAGAAATGAGTGTAAAGTGTATACTCTAAAAGCCCCCTTATCTGGAGGCGGACAATTCAAAAGGGGTAATCATCCGATTAACTGGATTGTGTATAAGCCATGAATTTTGTGGCAGCTTACGTGTCCGATGTTGTATCCAGATTTCAGGTCCAGTTGGGAATTTCAGAGGCCTTCCTCCCTTTCCTTCCCTCTTCCACTCACTATCTCCAAGTTGACTACTGTTTAGATTTTTTGTTTTTCTTTTTTTCCTCATTTATTTCTTAATTCAAAGTTCCCCAAAAGAGTTTTAAATTTTTAATCCTTTCAGTTTGATGTTATTCTAAAAACTAGTCCCGCAATTTTGGGTCTCATAAACTTATTTTTGATTTTTGGGACTAACATCGGTTTTGATAGTGAATAGTTGACATTTGATACAAGTTTCGGGTATTTTGTAACAGATTATTTAGTAATCTTGTACGACCCGTCGTGTATAAGACTATGTTACAAGTTGTATGAAAACAAATATTTTTACCCTTTTTTTAAAAAAATCTTACACTACACAGCTTTATTCCAATAGATAAAAGTCAGTCTAAGGGCCATTTGATGAGTACAATCTTACAACATTGGACATTGAAGCATCGTTGATAGCTAAATGATCTCGAATTAGACTCAAGGAATCTAAGATCCCGAGTTGGCAGAATTGCTTAACTCTAAAAGACATACACGACACTATCAATAATTTTAGGAGTTGAAAGGCTCTCAATCATATGTGATTGATACAAATTGCAATTGTGGAAGAATATTTGTGCTAGATCTTATGGGTCGAAATCGGCCTTTGGGAGTATTTTTGAGTCAGTACTAAATTCGAAAAATAGCATAATTGGTTGGTATCATGTATGGCTAGCATTATTTGATTCAATTTGTCAATCACAATTGATCCCAGTAAATTTAAAGAAATTCTATTGTGTCATAAAATCTTGCAAATAATCAGAAAGTCTAATTCTATTGTGTCATAAAATCTTGCAAATAATCAGAAAGTCTAATCGTGGCACTAATACCCATATGATCTAAGTTGATCAAATGTTTCTTTTTTTGTTCCTATAATAATTGTATTGTAAGAATCTCGTGAATCTTGTTTGTTTGTAAAACTAATTTTACATTTTCACTCATTTTATCTTTTAAACACAAAATCTAATAAAAAAGAAAACATCATCCAAACAACTTTCTGATTTACATTTTAAATTCCAACTTGAAACACTTTTTGTTAATGTAATGACCATTTTAGAACTACAAATAGTTCAGTGACAAATTTGGCAGGATTCCGTAATTGTTTTTGGAAAAGTTCTTTTTTTGTAGTGACTATAATTAACAGTATTCAATTGTTTAGTGATGACTTACTTGATATTTCAAAATGTAGTTCAAAATATTTTTTTCCAAAACCAACATCCAAACAACATTTTTATTTTTCATTTAGTTTTCAACTTAAAACACTTTCCGCTTTTACGTGACAAAATGAAATGTAAGTTGACGTACAAACAACCACGTCCCAAATTCTGATGGTGTTTGATTGTTTTCACAATATGAATATACTTCCTGTTTGGCACATACCAACTCAACCCTACAGTTCAGTTTATTCGTATGAAAGGACAGATTCCTGGACAGCCTCGGAAACAGAATGCAAAGATACCCCCCATTTTGTTGTGTTTCAAGTTTCAAACCTTTTCAAGAACCAAAATCCTACAAAGAAAATGGCCTTGCTTCCACTTACAACGGTGGAGATCTTTTCCACTTGGGGGGTTTTTATCTGCATGGATGCCACATGTTTGATGATTTACCTGATAGAATATTGGGTTTCTAGTAGTTTGGTACATTCCACTCCAGAAGTCCACAACTATTTATTCTGACGGGTTCCAATGTTTAAGTGGACATTTCTCAACTTTACAGAGGAATGTTGGGTGATTGAGTGGACAAATTTGTTCAAGCAAAATGGGTCGAAAGAGAAAGATTGTGTCTGCAAGGAAGATGATGAGAATCGAGGAATGTTACGAGGATGATGATCCCTCTGCAGCTGAACAAAGTTCTGACAATGCTAGTGGTGGGAATGAGAAACCAGATGAAAACAGGGCCAACATTGATAACCAAAGTTCTGAAGAGAAGTCTGCCAGGGAGAGTTTCTATGAGAAGCTTACCAAGTTGAATGAGTATTCAGGGCTCAGCTTGGTGTTAGTTTCTACCACTTCTTTGTCATTATTTTAGGGTATATTGTGCTCTTGCATGAATGCATGTGTGTATCTTGGCATTTCTGTTTTGCGGGTTTTTCAAGCTAAAAAGATTAGCTTTGTTTCCGCTTGGTTATAGTATGGCACTGAAGGTCACATATCCTTGTTTGATAAGATGATTGTTTGATTAAGTTGCTTCTTGTCTTGCATTCAACGAATTAAATTAATTTGATTCAACTCCGAAATTGACAGTTTCAACTTTCGGGACACAAAGCTGGACTTGTATCTTGTTTACAAGGAAGTGACTGATAGAGGGGGATCTCATGAGGTACTATAGCTCTGTGAATAAGTTTTTTGTATTTCTATCAGAAACGAATGCGGTTATACAATAGTAATTTTAGCATTTTCCGTTATTTGTATGATGCAATTTTTTTTTTTTTAACATGTATGATGCCATTGATTATAGGAGTTGGATTTTCTTATTATTTGGGCCACTGTTTAACTCATTTTAATGTTAGTTTAGAAGGCATGGGTTCTGGTTTTCTCATATCTAATTGGGAATGGAATGTGCTTTTATGGTGGGTTATATGGACAGATTGTTTTTGGTTATGATTATGGAAATGTAAAGAAGTTGAAAAATGAGGAATAAAAGGTGGAAAGTAATTCAGGAAACAGATATCTGCGATGGTAAACATAAAGTCTCTCAGTGTCAAAGGCCTCCCAACTCCCTGATTGATTTTGTTTTTCCTTTTTTCTTTTTCCGGTCTTCTACTTTGATGTTTCTTCTACTTTGATGTTTCATTTCGATGGGGGGTTTTGGCCATGCTCTTATTTGCTTATATCATTACTGTTCAACAACAAAAGATGTGAGAGATTATACCAAATGCAACATTTAGTTGGGAAATTCGCAATGTGTATTGTAGAAAAGTTAACTTCCTCTGCAACATAAAAATGAGTCTCCAGTGTAGAACTAGAGGTTTACTGTCTTTCAATGTTATGGCACTTGTTCCAGTTCTGGGATTACATACAGTTCTAGTACACATATTAGGTTTCAAAAGCTGGGAAATGGAGTGAAGTTGCCTCTGCAGTGGGCTCTGTACATCATGCCTCAATCTTACCAAGGCAAATTCAGAAGGTTTATGAAACTTTGCTTTGGACATATGAGCAAATAAATTGCTACAGAACACCTGGAAAAGCTTTGTGTAGATCTACCACAACTGCTGGTAAATTCACTTTACAGCCCCTTACTTTTAATGACTTTCCTTGAAAAAAGAAAGCAAGTCTTTGTGCTGTAATTTATTCCGCTTTCTTCAGTTGTGATTTAGTTTCCTTTTGGGAGGCGAAAAATCACGTGTCCTTGTTCTTAACAGCAAATATTAAACTTTTTTTTTTTTTTGGTCTTTTTGTCCCTGTTAGCTGAAGGGTATAGTTATGATTGCTCAGTAGGGAAGAGTGACCCTTGCGACGGTTACTCAGTAAGGAAGAGTCACCCTTGTGATGGCTCATCTGAAGATGACCAAGGAGCAAATGATAAGTGCAGGGTTGAAAATTTCCACGCATTAAAAGGTTAGTTGCTCTGAATTTTGGTTGCAGAAATTCACTCATATCTTGGTATAGGCAGTAGAAATCAGTAAGATAAAAATGGAAGATGTATGTTGTACGTGGAAAATTACAATGGAAGTTCAAATATGATAGACATGCATAATCTTATAGCACCAATAATGTTTAAAATTTTTGCTGAAGGACAGTCATCACTTATTGTTATCCAACTTAGATTAAATGTTGTAGTTTTAGTGACATCTTAGGCTTGGGAAGTACAAAGTTTCACATACTGTCATCTAGCTTAGGTGAAAGTCTTGAATTATGCCCGTGATATGTTTATGATTTTTACAATATGTGTGCCCGTGATATGTTTATGATTTTTACAATATGTGTGGGTTTTATTACTTCTGCCACAGCCATTTGATCTATCTGATACGTAAATTATTTTTGTTAAACTTCCTAACACTTAAGGAATGACCAATTTAAGATATATGGGAGGCTGAAGGATGCTTCTGAACTGTTTTAATATGGTTAACGTTCATTTTTGTGCCGTACTTCATTAATCTAGGGACCCATACAAATTTGTCTAAGAAAATATTGAAAATATACCGTTCTCTTTTATTTTCTGTTTTTTTATTTTTATTTTTTTTATTTGACTAGGATTACTATCAGTTCATTATACCTCTTCTCCAATATCATTTCGACAGACTTTCCCGTCATCAATTTACTATAGGACATATGCATGTTGAAGTAAATCTTCACCTATGCTTCATTTTTGGAACACTAGGTTCAGCAAACAAGACAGATGGATGCAAAATAGTTAGTTCCTGTAGCTGTGTAAAACTTTGTCAACTCTTAAACTGTTGGATCCCTCGTGGTTGTGCCTTGGACTCGTGACAAAGGGACGTGGATTTTGTACTCGGTGCAGCAGTTGGGAAAGTCAGTGAATTTATGTTACTCTAATAAAATAAAAAGAAACCCCATACACATTCAAAAATTATGAAAACCGTATAATTGTCTAACTTGCACTTTCCCATCTCCTGCTGACTAATTTGAGAAATTACTATGCTTAACTCAAAAGTTGATCTTTGTTACATGTGTTTTGTTGGAAGAGTGTTTTGTTGTTCGCAATTCCATTTCAGTTGTGTGATACTTGGTGATGTTAAATCTTGGTTAGGGCCTGGTAGACCAAGGAAGCAAGACTCTCCTGGTAAACCAAAGAAGCAAAACTCTCCCGGTAAACCAAGGAAGCAAGATCCTTACGCCCCGCAAAAAGCAAGAAATTCTTACCAGATGTTTCTTAGAATGGAATGTGAACGGTTAAAGAAGATTCATGGGGAAAACTCTCGTAACATGAACTTGAGAGTCATGGCAATTGAGGCATGGAGACACCTCTCTGACAATGATCGTCTGGTATGCTCCAGTTATGTTTATTGTAGTAGTGAGCTGTATATATTGGGGAATTTTCCATGTTTCTTTTGGTACATGCTGAAATCTCAATATCTTTTCAATCATCTGGTATTTGAATATCAGAGAGACTTCATATAGCTTAAGTGAGAGTAACTCTATCATTAGTCATCAGTAGTTCAGTACAGTGATGTATGGGAGCTTGTAACTTATCTCATATCTATTAACTGTGAGTCACCAGTTACTCAACCCTATATACTGTTATGTACTGTTAAGAGCAAACTGTTAATACCTATTAAATTAACATTCATTCTTTGGCCTGATCCCTTAGCATCTTTCTGATTCACAGCCATATGCTGAAGCAAGTAGGAAGGACAAAGAAAGATTCAACAGGGAGTTAGTCATTTACATGCAAAATAAGAACAACACTGTTACTGTGACTAGAGATTTACCCAGTAGTTCAACTCCAACCTCAATCAACTTTGCTGCATCTTCACCCAGAGATGATGACTGTTATGTACCTTTAGAACTCAATGCTGGAAACCAGCCATTGCCTAATGAAACATTAGTTGAATCAACCATTCAAATGTTGGAGAACGCAAAACCAAATGATCCCATTTTTCGGATGAATTGGGACGGGTGATCTGCAAATGAATCTCCAGATTCTGTCAGTTGAAACATGAAAGGATTGCAAGGACCCTAAGCTTCAGCGGCTGGATAAATCTAAAGTTGAAGGTTGGTGCTTTATGTCATGATCTAGGTGTCTTTTTAACCATTATCATGGTGGAGAAAAATAGCTGAAATGAGGATATTCTCTGCTGTGTAGAAATATATCATGAGGATTCACATCGCTCCATATTATATTCTATCCTGTTTTCTAGTGTCTATATTTCAAACTTTTCCCCTCCAATATATGGTATTGATTTTGTATAGAATGCACAGCTTTTGTTTGTTTATGGCTTCTGCTTTAGTGTGCCTATAGTTGCTATGCATGACCTTCCACTTTCTGTATTAAAAAAATTGATCATCCACAAGTCATCTCACTGCAGTATGCTGCCAATGTTTTGTCTGCAAGTAAATTCGTGGAATTTCATCCTTGTCATATTTATAGAATTAGGTTTACATTTCTGTATTGATTTAAAATGACAAGTATGGTAAGGATACTAGAATAGAAACCTGAATAAGGAGATTCTTATGATCAATTTTATCAAAAACATCTCCCCATAATATACTGCTGCATTTCATCTAAACCTTGTCATTCTGTGAAGTGTGAACCATAACTCTGGCTGAAAAATCTTGTAGTAATTAGTTTTGACTCGGTATTACTGCATTAATTACAACTGTATATCGTGGTTGGGTCAGTGCCACGGGTTTATGGCATAGAAGAGATGAGTACAGCTGCCATCTCAGGGTTACCTCTGTCATCTCGTTCCCCGGGAACCATACAGGGCCTGCATGTGACTTTTCAACTTCTAAACTCTTGCAGAGAGCAAACTTGTTTAGCTTTCTGAACTCGCGATGTAATGAAATCCTGTGAACAGTTATGCAATTACATGCATCTTCTAAACCATTTGGTAGCTGTAGTACTAGGCAGATCCTCCAATTGGCGAACTTTAAGACATTTCTACAGAATTTTTCAATTAGAGTATCTGGATATGTTCATTTGAAGTTCTTTGATAGGTTGTCTAGTCTAGATTTAAGAAGCATAGAAAACACTCTCCTATTACATAGCTTTAGAATGTAAGATTAACAAATGTAAGTACCCTCTGGCCTCGAGCTAATATGTTCAAAGGCCTGCAGCATGGGAAAAAGCTCTTAAGGAAGAAGGTATGCTAATCTATGGTCTCTCTGGTTAGGGATTCACTTGCTGGTGATAAGCACATTATGCTGAGTTCTGGGATTCAGATTTATGCATCTGTAGTCATCCAAATGTTGCTCGAAAACCCGAAAACTGCTCAAATCCGATTCCAGATATCCAGTGGAAGAACAGATGTAACGATATGTTCTTATGGAGTATTTTGACTTCTAAAAGGGATGGTTGTCCCATACAACCTTTTACCTTGGCAGCTTAACTCATAGGCTTGTCAAACGTCAGCAATTAAATAGAAAATGACTTTCATTTATTTGTCGAAATGGTCTTTTATTTATATCCAGTTGCAACTTTATCCAGATATAATTGTTCTTTTTTTTAGAACAAAATTATATAACTTGAAAATATAGTACACAAACTAAAATACACTTGGTGCATACTCCTCCATATAATAAAAGTATTGAACTAATTTAATCATATAACTAGTGTCTTATCTTTTCTTTTTTTTCAGTACAAACCAATGTCCAAGCTAAACTAGTATGAACATGTAATCGTAAATAAATAACATATTTATTGAGAGAGCTTTTAGGTGTGATATTCAATCCGAAATTAGTGAGAATGTTAGTAGGGAAGTAATTTTTTTTTTGGTTAATTAGGGAGTATTTTCAAATGTAATATTTAAAAGAATTTTATTTATTTATTTTATTTTATTATTTTTTTTTAAAAAAAAACATGGCAACTTTGGACCGCATATTATGCTCCAAAGGATATAATATATCGTCTCGACGAACTCAACTGCTGTTGAAACTTGAAAACCTGAAACTTTGAAACTCCCTCCCCGCCACAAATGTAAACACCAAAAAACACACAGTATCAAAGCCTTCAAAACGACCAAAACTACAAAATCCATACACATAGAGACACCTTATACACGCACTCAAATGGCCTTGAGAACAATATCAACACCAATTTCCACTTCCTGTTCGCAATCCCATCTCCCAAGTCTCTGTTTCTTGATCTCAACAAAATCAAGGAGATCCCTTTATCAGTGGCAGCATTCTGCGAAACCCCTTTTCTTCTCTCGGCAGAAAATGACGGGTCTTTCATTGAAAGCTTGCGTGAAGTTGGAAGAAAGGAGTACTTCAGATGACAGTGGCACTGGAGGTGAATGGGGAAAGGTGTCAGCTGTACTGTTTGATATGGATGGAGTGCTTTGTAATAGTGAAGAGCTATCAAGAAGGGCCGCTGTTGATGTTTTTGCGGAATTGGGTGTCCAAACTACCCCTGAAGATTTTATACCCTTCGCCGGCACAGGTAAAAAGCTTCCATCTTTTTTTTTTTCATCTGAATTTGGTAAAGCGGAAATGTGAATGGGTGTTCTTTCTTGGTGTTGCATTTTGACAAGCAATGGATCAATTTATTCCTTCTGTCTTGGCTTATATTTTCAATCAATCTACCTGCATGAAATTTTTCCTTATTATGCTAGTAGGCTGGTAGAATTTTGAACAAGAGTGTCTTTGATCCCTTATGACATTCTTGGTGACCTGTTATGACATTCTTGGTGACCTGCATAGTGCGAGGAGAGAGGTCTTTGGAAGAACTTTTTCCATGGGAAATAGATGTACGATTGCTGAATCACGAGGTGTAGGTTTAGGCAGGATTTCATGCTTTTCTGGAATGGTGGAAAATAATGACGTAAATTGACCTTATGACTCTTGTTAGATTTGCTGGTTTCTGCCAGAAATGAAATTATGAAAGTGCAAGAGAACTTTTTCGCCTTTCCAACTCGTTAGGCAGTATATAGAGATTGGCCTGACCCTAAGCAGGATTGGAAATTGCACATGTAATTGTAAGTATTTTAGATAAGGGCCCCTGTTGTTGTCATTACAAAAAGGTTTGAGCTTGGTCTGTGGGAGGACCTTTACAAAGGCGTAGTGTAAAGGTCACAGGTTTGTGTCACAAACCTCAGTTCCATAGCCAGTAACCAACAAGGTTATTTTTACCAATTAATACGTGTTCCGAGGAGAGCCCTTGTATAAAAGTAGTTAAGCAATGTATGTTCAACCATTAAATTGGAAGAGAGAGAACATGTGAAGATTGTCCAAGGCATATGAACCTCCTGAAATTCCGACAGCGCTGGTTTTTGTTTTTAACTCTATGAGTTTAATCTGGATATGAAGGACTTTTGTTGAGTGTTTGCGTGAAAATCCTCTGAAAACATTGCCTATGTTGGTGGATGTAGATTATGACAAATAGAGTAACATTTGATCCCTTTGGAACAGTTACTCTTTAGTTCTAGAGTAGGTTTTCTGCCTCTGTACTTATTTTGGTGACAGAATTATGTCTTCCATTGCAAACACACCATGTCCAGACAATACAAGAGACTAAATTTGAAGTCTTAGACAGTACATGCTTTTGAAATTCGAAGTTCCATACGGCACTTAGCTTATCAATCCGGTTGTGAGATTTTCCTTGCTGGTCTTCTATGATTATCACCAATCTTGTTAGAGAATTATTCATTTCCTGTTCTTATAGTTAATATCTTTGCCTAGGAATTCGTACAAAATAAATTCACAGTAGCTTGGATTCCCCAAGTTACTAAACATCCAGGAAAAACAGTGGTTAGTTATTAATTTCACACCCCAAACATGTTGCCTTCATTATCACCAGCATGTCCTTGTTACTTCATCATTTATGTATGAGAACCAGATGGTTCTTTAACACGTGCAATTTCTTTTCTTAAATGTTTACTAGGTGAAGCAAACTTTTTGGGAGGTGTGGCTTCTGTTAAGGGTGTCAAGGGATTTGATCCTGAGGCTGGCAAAAAGAGGTTCTTTGAGATATATTTAGATAAGGTTGATTACAAGAGATCTAAATTTCAGTTTATTTCTGATAGAAAAGAAAATTTCTCTTACTAGCTAACTTCTGGAATAGACATTTTAAAATGATACATTGTATCCATGGTATTGCAGTATGCGAAACCAAGCTCTGGGATAGGATTCCCTGGAGCTTATGAACTCATTCAGCAGGTAGCTATTCTTGTAATTACATTGAGGAAATGTGTTCGCACTTCTAGTTTCTTAAATTGTTTTGTAACTTGGTACTGCAAAATAACAGTGCAAAAGCAAAGGCCTCAAAGTTGCTGTGGCATCTAGTGCGGATCGCATTAAAGTTGATGCAAATCTAGCGGCTGCTGGTTTACCCTTGTCACTGTAAGCTACTAGAGCACCATCATTGTTTTCCTTTGGTTCATGTTACCAAAGTAGGCATACATGCAAACTCTACTAGCGTATGCTTTGTTTCTGTGTTACATGAAATGTCCAAGTTTAACTATGAAGATTAATTCTGCTAGTGATAAACTTTTCTATATCTAGAATTGAATTCAGAATCTCTGTTCCAGTTGTGAGAGGTGCTTTGTCGCTGGAATCTATGTGGGGAAAATATATAGTGTCATCAGTGGATAAGTTGTGGATGCTAATCAAATAAATATTTCGGTTTTAACAAAAAGATGAGATACATATTCAACTTGGTTCACCATCGCCCATCTATCTGCAAGGACTAAATGGAATGACTTTATTTTATTTTATGTTATAATAATTTAATCAAAATCCTCCTCACAGGCTCAATTCATGTTGTTTTTTATAGATGGCTCAAAGTTACATCCTTGAACCCAGGGGCAAAATATAAACAATTCTTATGCATGGACTTTGAAGTCTTAACCATGTCAAGGGTAGAAAGTGGAACAGAGTTTTCTCTGAAGTTTGAAAATGGGAGAAATGAACTTCAAGTGCTAACTCAGATTTATCGCACAGTTGAAGGCAATGTTTATGACAAGCTGTAAATTTATAAAAGCAATCACATGTCACGTGAGCATGTGATTGGTTTTCCGCAGATGTCCCTGTAAATAATTGCTCTTGGACTAGCTGATTTGGAATTAAATGTTTATGTTAAGTCAAATTTGAATTAGTTGTCTTGGATAGACTCTTCTCTGCTAGTTACATAATTCAGAAAAGATGTTATGCTTGAGGTGCTGGGTCTGAGATACTCTTGTGGAGTTATCGTTACACTGTTTGATAGAACCTGTCAGGAAATCAAAATTGATTTTTAAATCTATCATTTTCTATTATTTCTGACAGGTTTGATGCAATTGTATCTGCCGATGCTTTCGAAAACTTGAAACCTGCTCCTGATATATTTTTAGCCGCATCAAGCATATTGAATGTTCCAACCAGTGAGGTATAGTTTTAAAGATAACTAGTCTTCATATTTTACCGAATGTTCTCAAATCTAGACTGCCCACAATTATTTCTTCCAAAATCTGAGATTGTACTGATGATTAATTTTTTTGCAGTGCCTTGTAATTGAAGATGCATTAGCTGGTGTGCAAGCCGCAAAGGCAGCTCAAATGAGGTATTGCTTGATGTTTTACGAAGTATTGGGATTTGTAATTGAAGCATACAACTAGGATTTAGATGTTTCCTCTTATTTTTATCATTGTTTCTCTAAATTTTCTTTATGCTTTCTTAATTTTGATTGATTCAATTTACAGGTGTATAGCAGTAACCACAACCTTATCAGAAGATTCCCTGAAACCAGCTGGTCCAGCCCTTATCAGAAAGGACATCAGCAACATTTCTCTTGATGACATACTTAGTGGTGGCTCGGGCTCTGATAGTATGTAGTTTTGAGAAGATACTGGTGCTATTTGTAGCAATTGTTATTGCATATTTATCGGGATAGCTTTGTTACGTATGGATATGATTTGCAACTTGGGCATTGTGATGAACTTCCATTGTACACAACCAAGTTGTTTTTGTTTGTAATATATGAAGTCTTATTTTGTCAAAAGCAGTATACCTCTGTTTTATTTTTATCTGGTCATTTTTTGATTTTCTTGTATTTAAACCATAAAAGTTTTCTATCATTGTTTTGCATGACTTGTTAGATGAGATCTGATGATGATAAACCTTCGCAGATGCAAAGGTGAAGGGGCTTTCTCAATCTGTTTCCCGTTCTGCACAATCCTCATCCAACAAAATTGAGATTAGTTCATTCCAGGATGAAGGTTCAACAGAACAGGCTGGTTCAATTTTAGGGTAAGAGTGATGAATCCATCAATACATATAATATATAATGGTTAATATTGTGTAGCTATTGACATTGACCATCTATCTCGGTAGCAAAATGTTCATATTGCATCACTGTGATCTCAACATAGTGAGAATGGTGATGCTAAAGAAATTTTCAAAAGTGTGAAGACTAATATAGGAATGAAAATATGAGAAGCTTGATTTGCAGATCACTAACAGATGAGCTTTTTTTAAAGACATTTTAGTAAGCAGTCAGTAGCCATTTCTATGACCCCATTAAGACTGACGATTAAAATGGAATTGAACTTTATCTTAATCCTCATGTGATCAATAACTTAGAGATGAGTAAGACAGTCACCACGGTTAGAATATCCTTCTCTTTATGGTTCAATGAAAGGAACAGTATTGCACATCGAATGTGAAATTTCTGTTTGTTCTTTCATCTTCTTCTTGATGCATAATAGCGTTGGAATGAGTTCAGAAGAAAACAAATTAGTCATGTTATTGTTTTATGAATTTATGGAAGTTATTTTATTGACAGTTTGCAGGGCTCTCGGCGTGACCTTTTAAGATATGGAAGTCTGGGTGTTGCTCTTGCTTGTCTTGCCTTTTCCGTTAACAACTGGAAGGTGTAGCTTTGTTCTTCTAAAAGATGGAATTACATCTCAGTCAGATTCATACTTGTTTCTCATAATTTTTATTGTATTCCTTCTCGGAAGCTTCTGAATTTTGCAGGCAATGCAGTATGCATCCCCTAAAGCTATCTGGAATCAATTGTTTGGAGTTAGTAGCCCTCCATTTCAATTGAGCAAAGGTCTAACAATTATATTTTCATTATGTTTGTGTTATCAGTCAGTTGATCATAATCTACTATTTTTATTCATTGCTCAAATTTTCTTTGCTTCTGTTGTCTCAACTAGTTCAATGTTGTTGATTCAACTTAGACATTTGTCTGGTTGATCTCAGGTGCATGGCTTTGCATTATGTCCTTTGCTTGGGTTTTGCTGATATTCGTCTCTTGAGTTAGGTTTTGTTAGGGGATTATGAAAGGAGAAGAGGAACTTATAAAAGCAATTTTTTTTCTATGCAGATAAATCCCATTCAGGAAGAATACAACAATTTCTGGAATACATATCAGATCTAGAGACCAGGTAGACAAATATTTTCTCCGCTTAAGACTGAACATATCTATTTGTACTTTAGAAGATGCCACAGATTGAAGCTTGTTTATTTCTTGCACACCTATGGACGGAATTAAACTTTTCAATCCCTTTTATTTCCCAATCTTAAAAGATATTTCCTAACTGTTTCTTGCTTAATGTGATACACATGTAAGAGGAACAGCAGCAGATGTGCCAGAATTTCCTTCTAAGCTGGATTGGCTGAACTCAGCTCCTCTTCAGTTCCACAGGGTACACCAGCTACTTGCTTATAAGCTTATTAAGTCCACTTCTTTTCTTTTTTCTTATTTTTGGTTGCTCTTCAAATTGAATCTTCTGAACTTAGATCAACATAAAGCGAGTTTGCTGAGTGTGAAAGATTGTCTTGATCTTCTTATAAATGATAGCTATATATATATATATGACAACTAAGAGTGCCAACTACCTTTTTACTGATAAAATACTGTGGAACACTTATGCCTTGTACAGCAGTCCATTTTTGGTAGTAATCAAATTTTTGCTTATTTTGGGCCATGTATCTGTAGGATCTAAAAGGAAAGGTGGTTCTTCTGGATTTCTGGACATATTGTTGTATAAATTGCATGCATGTGCTGCCCGATTTGGAATATTTGGAGAAGAAATACAAAGATACGCCTGTAAGCTAATATCTTATCTATGAACATCCTTTTTATCCATATGCTCTTTCTGCTCAATCTACCATATCAATGGTATGCATTGTGATCACTTCAATGTTAAGTTATCCTGAGCATTTACTTGGTCACTGACTGTTAATTATGTATTTTTCTTTTCTCAGTATTTACAGATTATTAGAGCTATCACCATATTTGTTGGCCAAAGCTTAAAGGGCTTTGCTGAAATTGTAATATGAAGGAAGTACTTCAACATAACAATTAAATTTACTGTTATTTCAGATACTTAGGATATTAAAAGATACCAAATTACTTAATAGCACAAAGGAGAGAGTCAAACCAGGACTAGTCATTACTGTCTGGAGGGCATATCATTTGAGTCGAATAACATGATAAAGATGCAGGGATATTTACTTGATTACTTGCCTGGTGGATTTTAGAATATATGCTCAAGAAAGAACCAAGCTCAAGTGTGTCTCAAGAATACTGGTATTTTGGATTCAATTACTGTGTAGCCTCATGTCATACCATGTATTGTTTGGATTATGGTTGGAGAAAATGCTGAAAGCAAATAATTCAAACCTTGCACCTCTATTCTTTTCTTTTCTTTTTTTTTTTTGTTTTTTAAAGCTCTAGATTACTACACAGCACTGCAATAATTGCAATGTCAGAGCTATCTCTTTGATCTTAAAAAATGTCAGAGATTGTAATCAAGTAATGAGCAGGGAATGAGGAGATGTATAGGAGAGAATTTCGCCACTAAGATGATTGGCAAAATACTTTCATATGCTTATCATTGCTTGTTGGCTGCATGCATGCCTACTCTCTATTTTCTAAATTCCTTGTTGGATGCATGCATACCCTTCCTCATGTTCTATTTAAACCCTGCAGCTGATACATAAGGAAATGTCTCGATGCAGTTTGTGGTTGTAGGGGTGCATTCTGCTAAGTTTGACAATGAGAAAGATTTAGAGGCAATTCGAAGTGCAGTTTTGCGTTATAAAATCACTCATCCAGTAAGTTGTTTTTCTTGTACTTCATGTCATGGGATTGCGTAAGTTTAAGAAATCATTACCGCTCGTTCACTGTAGACTTTGTAGCAATATGTGGTAGAGATATGCAACAACTTTTTTCACTATAATTAGCGTTTAGCTTTTACGATGAGGCAGTATCTACATGGCCCTTTCTTATTCAAATCTCCACCTTTGATATTAAAGTGCATGTTTTTTTTTTGGGTCATGACTGAAATTTGGCATCAATCGCATATTGAAATTATTTATGGATGAATCTTACCTCATTTTAACAGGTAGTCAATGATGGTGATATGAATTTGTGGCGGGAATTGGGTGTTAATTCATGGCCCACCTTTGTACTTATTGGTCCAAATGGAAAGGTTCTTGCACAATTGGCTGGTGAAGGTCGTCGGAAGGTTCTTACTCTTAATTTTTATCATGGATTTCCATTGTTCCTTTCTCTTTTGATCTTTCATTCTTACAACGTTATATTCTTTATTCATGTACTGCATGACGTTCTATTTAGTTGAGCTCAGGCATCAAATATCCACATTGATTGATATTATTTGAAAATCTTTTCTCATATGGGATTTCATTGTACTATATTTCTTAGTATTTGGTCCTATATAATTGTCTTCATTCATGTTTTATCTTATGTTTCTATCATGTATGTTTCGACTTTCACAAATGAATCCAATGATAAAGTGAGCAGAAAATAACAGATGCCTCCCACTATTATTTTCAAATTATAGTCAAATTGTCCAATTTACTTCTGAGAGATATGTACTTACTTGATTCTTGGAAATTTAGATTCATCCTTCTCAGGTGCTTTTTTCTGCTACATTTAAATGATTTAAGGAATTCCTTATTGCAGTAAATATCGATTTAGCAGGATCTTAATTTTGTACTATTATCTTATAACTAGGATCTTGATGATCTCGTGGAGGCAGCTCTCCTATATTATGGTCAAAAGAACATCCTTGATAGCTCACCCATTCCTTTGAAGCTGGAGAAAGATAACGATCCTCGCTTGTTGACATCACCTTTGAAGTTTCCTGGAAAGCTTGAAGTTGATGTCCTGAACAACCGTCTTTTCATTTCAGACAGCAATCATAACCGAATAGTATGTTTCCACCTCTTACTTGTTTTTATATGAATTTGGTTCATGGGCATGGTTCATCAATTTCGATCTTCGCGATCCAATAAATCAAGAACCAGGAACTGGTCCAACAGTGTTCTATGTTCATTGACGTAACTTGCAGTTTCTGTTTATTCAATTGACTTGATGAGGCAAGCTATGGGGAGAAAGAGAAAAACTCTGCGATCTCGGATTTTAAAATTTTAGACTTCCACTTGTGGTCTTCACAATGATGGTTATATTTTTGAATTGATCAATCTGTGATAACAATAAAGAGGGGTCATCAAGAGCCAATTGTTGTATTTCTAATGTCAGTTACTTTTCTTTCTCCCCTTCTTTGTGGGGTTCTTTTTCCTGATTTATGTAGTAGAAGCATTTGCTTTACACAGTAACTAGAATTTTTTCAGTCATATGTTCCTTAAAAGTGTAGTCCTTGAGTCAATATCTTTGTTATAAGCGGGCAGATGTTTTCATGTGGTCTTGCGACTACAAGAGTCAGCATGTTAAGATTGATTGATCAGGGCTGTTTCCAAAGGTTATTCTGTTTGCTCTTGTAATGAACAAAATTTTCTCTTTCATCAACTGGAAATCCAATGAAGAACTTTTACTTTCGAATGCTTGTAAAGCCGACTGGCTTCTTCATTCCCTTAAAGGCTTGTGCCATCAGTATCTCGGTTCTGTTTTGTTATGGTCAGTACTCTACACAGAAGCATGCTTCTTTTTGGCTGATTATGCCTATCTGAAGTGTCTTGTTACATGGGCAAGTTCAGGTAGTGACTGATTTAGATGGGAACTTCATAGTTCAAGTTGGAAGCTCAGGAGAAGAGGGACTGCAGGATGGTAACTTTGATGATGCTACCTTCAATCGTCCACAGGCAAGTGATTAATTTTTTCTTTTTATTGGTACATAATCAGATGAAAGGTGGTTATATCTTCGATTTCGTTCTCTGTATCATTTATTTTTCATGTCCTTTAATAAGTTAATTGTTACGAAGTTCATAAATATTTTCCTAGGGTCTCGCTTACAATGCAAAGAAGAACCTCCTCTATGTGGCAGATACTGAGAATCATGCTCTAAGGTGGGTCTGCTTCATTCATCTTCTAAAAAAAATTAGTATTTGATCATGTGAGTTCATATACACTGCCCTTATTTAAATCCTGGTGCTTGAAGATAATACTGACTGGAATTCTGGAAAGGCTGTCAAGTTTCAACTAGCTTTACCATGCTAACATCCATATCCTCTGGAAAATATCTGTCAGATGACTACTACTAAAATATTTTAAAAAATTTTGGAGATAGAAACTCAGGCTCCTACAATGCTGTGTAAATATCAATTAAGAGGAAGCTTATACTATGTCCACACAATTATCTCCTGTTTTTTCTGCTAAAGGTCAATGTAATAAGTGGCTTGGTGATAAATATATTTTAATTCCCTTTTGTAGGGTGATTGATTTTGTAAATGAAACTGTTCAAACTCTAGCTGGAAATGGCACCAAGGGGTCTGACTATCAAGGTGGAAAAACTGGATACGATCAGGCAAGATATGAAGATATTGTTTTTATCATATTTCCTTGACAGTTCTTAAGATATAGATACTTGTCCTGACCAGCTATTGATGCAAGCATACATTCAAAGCTGGTGCATTCACTCAGTTTATGTTTCCACTCCAGTTAACTGATTCAAATTCATGATTTGTAGCTTCTTAATTCTCCCTGGGATGTCTGCTTCAATCCCATGAATGAGGTTGTCTACATTGCAATGGCTGGCCAACATCAGATTTGGGAGCATAACACTTCAAATGGAATTACTAAAGCATTTAGTGGCGACGGATATGAGAGAAATTTGAACGGTTCGAGGTACAAACTGTGCTTAGATTCTGCTTATAGCTGACCTTCATTTTATTGATTTTAGGTTTCCGTTTCTTCTGGCACATTCTTTTGAATCTTATCATATGAATAATAACACTTCTATACTTTATTAATAGTAACAGATAGGCATATTGATCCTGTTCTCATACTGTAATGGAATTGCTCTATGTTTATTTTCTTTCTTGTGTCTTTTGAGTTACTTATATTCCATAAAGTTATTTGTCAGATATGAATGGAGAAGATTTTGTCTGACATTTGTCTCTTGTGTTAAACTTCTAACCTAGATCGTTTTTGTTCTTCTTTTTTATTGGACAGCTCTTTGACCACCTCATTTGCACAGCCTTCTGGAATTTCACTATCTCCTGGTAATATGCAACATCAAAGTTCAAAGCTTTTCCTTCTACTTAACTTCTTTGGGAAAAAGATAGTCTTTTAGTGCATTTTCACCAGCGTAACTCTACTCTATATGTCAACTTCAGATTTGAAGGAAGCTTATGTAGCCGATAGTGAGAGCAGCTCTATTCGAGCACTTGACCTAAAAACAGGAGGATCAAAACTACTGGCGGGGGGTGATCCAGTTTTTGCAGATAACTTGTTTAGGGTACTTCTCTTAATTTGTTTCCAGAGATATTCTTAGTTGTGATCATATCATTTATTTTTTATGGGTCCAGGATACTAACTTGTTTATACACTGCAGTTTGGAGACAATGATGGAGTAGGTTCTGAAGTACTTCTTCAGCATCCACTAGGTGTTTCTTGTGGAAAAGATGGCCAGATGTATGTTGCTGATTCTTATAATCATAAGGTCTGTGCTGAGCTTTACTGATATTAGCAAACCTGTAGCCCAAAGTTAAACATAACATGCATTTAAAACAGCTACTTCCCAGAAGCAAGCAATGAATTATGTGCTAATTATACTCCAATTCCTCATGTTACTTGTATGTTCAATGTACTTCCTAGGTGCTATATTTCGGTACCTATAGTCTGCTGCTTGTATCTTAGGTATTTTCCTGGATTTCTAATGTTTTGAAGTTGGCCTGATATCACAGATCAAGAAGCTGGATCCTGCAACAGGAAGAGTCCTCACCTTAGCAGGAAATGGGCAAGCGGGTTTCAGGGATGGAGCAGCCCTGGCAGCTCAGGTTGGAAGGTTTAACTTGTGCATTCATTGCTTCAACAAAATTTGAGCCCTGTATGACTTTCTTTGAATTGGGCTCTGTTTAGTTTCTTTGTTGTTCATCACATGAATAGAAATTTAGAGCTGTCATTCCCTTAATTAGTCCATTGTGATACTGTTCTCTATGTTCAAGCTCATTGAAAACTGACAAGTTTGTGGCTGAACACAAGTTAATAAACATAGTCTATCATAAGATTAATAAGGAATTCTAATTTAGAAAGTGGCAATTCTTCATCAGAAAGAATTCTCTAACAAAAATACTTGACATGTCTGAAGTTAAATGTTTGTTTGATCTTAATTTAGCAAGAACTGTTCAATTCGAAAGAACTAGGCCAGGTGTAAATCCAGCCATTCAGTGTGGAAACCTCTTATTAATTTTCCAGAAATGGTGAAGTGGTTGCAATGTAATCCTTTGCATGAGCAAAGTTATTGCATTCCTTTTATTGCTTGTCTGTGAGTGTTCCTGTGCTTTTTTTTTTTTTTTTGGTTTTCCCAAAGTATCCATAGTGTTTATTTTACCATTTTTTTCTATCTTCTTTAAGCAGCTTTCGGAGCCCTCGGGTATTGTGGATGTCGGAGATGGTAATCCTTTCTTCAATAATGAATATCCTGTTTCTTACTTTTCATTCACGTTACCATTTAAAAGGTTTCGAAGGAACCCATTTGTAGCTGTTATTTGATGATTGCAGTGGCTAAAATTCCTATTTTAACACTGCTGTAGTCATCCATAACGTATCTACTTTGAACTTGCTCGTCTTTACATTCTTGAAGTTTCTGAATGCTGTATGTAACAAGTCTCTGTGACTTGGTGTAGGAAGGCTATTCATAGCAGATACGAATAATAGTTTAATCAGGTACTTAGACCTGAAAGGGCAACAAGCTGAGCTTCATACTTTAGAATTGAAAGGTGTTCAGCCTCCTACGGCGAAATCCAGGTCCTTAAAACGCCTTAGAAGGCGATCTGGAGCTGATACGGAAACCATAGTAGTAAATGGTGGTTCATCCAACGAGGGTAATCTAATTCTCCAGATATCAGTACCTGAAGGATACCATTTCTCAAAGGTCTCCCGCTGTCTCTCCTTTTCCCTACTTCTTCCCTTTCGTAATTTTGGTTGTTTTTGAAATTACATATAGGTGACATGATGATTATAAATACAGGAGGCCGTGAGTAAATACTCTGTTGATACTGAACCGGAGGATACTGCTTCTATTGATCCTTTAGAGGGCAATCTCAGCCCAGAAGGATCTGCTGTGATACATTTCAAGAGAGCCTCTCCTTCATCTTTTCGTGGGAGAATAAATTGCAAGGTATGCCAGTAGAATCTCTATATATGCAACCTAAATATCTCTGTGTTGGAAGCTGATTAATGAACCTGCCTAGTCTCTCATAAGCGTTCATGACAAGGCCTGCTTAGTGAATTGTTCCGACACAATATTTGAAGCGATGTTATTCAGGAGACTAGAAAGGATTTTCTGCACCAATACTCTCTCCATGCTCTTTTTGGAGGTTAATTGACATTGTTTTGCCAGAAAAAAAGAAACCAAGAGGTTAATTTTTCTCTGAGATTTTAGGTCGAAATTGATGAATTTGTCTGAGATGGGAATAAGTACAAAGTTCTTTTGAAGTCCACACTGTTTTTGGGCTTTTTGACTGCTCTCCAGTAATACTTATATATTGAACAAGTCCGAGTGATAGTATACTTAGAACATCATTGACTTTTCTGCTGATCTTATCACTGCTATTGTCTGACTTGGAAGCTTCGGCATGATTTACAGGTCTATTATTGTAAGGAAGATGAAGTCTGCTTATACCAGTCCTTGAACTTTGAAGTTCAATTCCAAGATTCAAATCCCGAAACTGCCCAAGCAGATATTACCCTTCCTTACCTTGTGAAGCCAAAGACAATCAAAAATAGCTTGCAGGTATCAGTTGACCTTTGACTTAAAAAACATTTGTTTACAAATGATTTACCCTCATTACTATTAACTGCTTCCAAAACAATGGTAAAATGAAGCATAGTTTCTTATTTGTTTTTTGTTCATATCTAGTTCCTCCAACTTAAAGTAGTCATTAGCGTTTGGACATCAAACTATTAAGCACTCCACTTCAGGAACCTTCATGTTTTATTACTCCAGTTTCCCAAATGCTCTATACATGAATTTATTTGTTAAATTTCCATTTGTGGAAAGGTGGTTGGAGGTCGATAGAGGCCATTTTCCGGTGTATCACGGCACGATCCGTTGAACAGCAACCTCTCTTTTCCATGTAATTCATCAGTAGGGAGAGAGAAAGACATATCCCTTCTCCTGATGGTGGATTTCATAGACTACATACATTGTTACAGAATAATTCATACACAGAAAAAGTTAAGTTGATGAGGTGGGACTTGGGAGAAGGAAGAAAAGGAAAGATTGATGTCTTGTGTACCTTTAACCTTCCTTAACAAATGAAGTGTCACTATCTATAATGTACATGGTTGATGGTACAAAGAACATGCATTATCCACTCCTTGAATTTGGCCTCTCTCTTTTTTTTTTTTTGAGTATAGATATATCTTGTGTTGAAGTTGAAAGTATACATTCATTCACATGCCTGCTTAATTGTAGTCATGATTTTATGGGATATCTTTGCAAAAAGTCCCCATGTGTTCTTGCCATTTCACTTTGGCCCTAATAATTGTGCTGGAGTGTTTGTTAATCTTCATTGTCATCATTATGTTTTGTGATAAGCAAAGTATAAAGTGTGGAGAGACTTGAATTAAGATATCTCTTTCTCATGTGGAAGTGTAAGTGGTTAATCATTGTTTAGTACTTCTTGTTCTTACAACAAATGACAACTTGACACACTCTCCAAACATCAATGAACCATCTGGGACTCTTCAAAAGGAAAAATATCCCTTATTGTTAATCCTGAAAATTAAGCACACTTTTTTGGGTTTTTGCCCTCTAGTATTTTCTCTCACTTTTTCTGCTCTAAAATAAGAGTCATGTTTGTTCAACTGATACAGAATAATAAACATGACTCTTAATTTGGATTTTTTGGTTGGACAAGTACGTAATGAATAATAATCTTGATAATGAAGTAAAGAATTAACTAAATCCTATCCATTAGAGAGTATAATTATAATTACTTCACTTTCAAGGTATCCCTAAAATCACAAGAAAGTTATAGCCGCAAACAACACGTGATTGTGACATTTCAAAACACCTCATATTTGGGAAGAATTGTTTTCTCAAGGCAGGTTGTCAATTGCTTCTTGAAGAAAAGGGAAAAAAAAAAAGGAATACGTTTCTTCCTTAATGAATCGATCAAACCACAAGATTTCTCTTTGCAAAGGATCGTTTTTGAGAGTCTACAGAAATTTGTCCGACTCTTATTTTGACATGAAAAGAGTAATAAAACTATTATAACCAAATTGTGACAAGTTAAAAGAGGAAGAAAAGAAGCAATTGTGAGTAAGTAATGTATGTACATGAAGGCCTGGCGGCTGAATTTTGTATGTATGTACAAGTAATATGAGACAGCAAGATGATTTGCTTCGCTTAATTCAAGCAATGTATAAATTAATGACCAATCTAATTAGCAGCTCAAATAACTCTGACAGAGAGATAATCTGGACAAATTATAAAATGTTTATTAAATGGAAACCCATCCAATGTTATTGGATAGCAGAACTTTAAGACCAATTCTTTGATGTTGTCTCAATCTTCGGGTACCATAATTTATCAAGTTGCTTAGTTAATCTGATCCCCTTTTAGTCAACTTTATACGTCTCTTAATCACATTTGTTAAGGTAAATGAATAGTGTCGTTCCAAGTTGCGAGAAATGAATAGTGTCAATTTTAGGGGAAAAAATTACACAAGTTGAGAGAAATAAAGAAACTAACAAGTTATCACATTCTTTTCCAAAAAAAAAAAAAATTATCACATTGATCATTTTTAAAACTTATGTTAGTTTAATGTAATATTTGATTAAACCAAAGTTGTTGTGGTGGAGTGGAAGGGACTCTTTTATCCTTAACCATAGGTAGAGGGTTCGAACCTTGTCATGGACATGGAGCAACCTTAAATACTTTGGCCAGCTGCTATCCATCCCATCTATTGAGGTACCTATAATTCAGCAAGGGGAAGTAGTCACTGTTGCCGATGTTGGACATACTGAAAAAATGCAAAAAGGATATATGCAATGTAGTATTTCATTAGGATACTATTTCTTTTGAGACGGATCGACTAATGGAACATTAGTTAATATTAAGTTGTTAAACATTCAATTTTAACTGAAGATCGATCACTTGAGTTATTACTCTAAAAGTTTTTAGAAGGGCTGAGGATAAAAAACTGTTGATAATTTTGTACAAACATTTCGTCCAGTTGTAAATCTTTACCTATTATAGCATTTTTCAAATATCAAAAATTATTTTCCAACCCTAAAATTTGTTGATCAATGTCAATCACAAGATTTTACAATTACTGTTTTGTTTCTGATAAACGCTGTGTTTGTCCCACATCAATCAACTCTCTTTAATTGTTTATTAACTAATTATCTTGATAAGACTAATTTAAAATATGTGTTCATATATTTTGTTAGCAATCATTGACCTAAGCCAAAGTGGACTTGATCAAAATTAGTTCTAAAAAACTGGGAAAAAATTGAAACGAAATTGTTTGTGCATGTGCTTTGCTTTGGAAGAATGAGACACTTTACGATAAAGAAGTCAATGGTGGGGGAATAAGATAAAATTAAGTTTTAAAAAAGTCGAAATTATTGGTGAAGGTTTTTAAAATTTTTAATTAGCTATATAAATAGTTAAATTTACTTAATGAGCATGTGGATTGCCAGCTGCATGTTACTTAACCATGAAAGTAATCAATCAATCATTAGTTTTAAGTTTTTCATTAATCAAAACAATCAACTTGATTGAACAACGCGACGTTTGCAAAATAAGATGATTAATTATGCGCGTTTTAAGAAAACAATTTCAAAATTAATGTCTCAAAGAAAGAGGCAAAACAATCTGGCAAAACATGCTGGTACTTTTATATATATATATATATATATATTGCCCTAATATTGAGAGATTCTCTGACATGTATATCCTCAAAATTATCCAATTTGGAGGGAATTCAGAATTAATTTATTATTAAAAAAGAACACTTTCACGTTACTACTTGATTATCAGCAACTTCGGAAATGGTTACGCAATTTCGAACACAATTGTTTCTCATAATATCTCAAAGAATGATTAGTACCTAGGAAGTACGAAATATCAGGTTTACTCGTAGTTTGAGTTTATGTGTATACTGTTTAGAAGCCAAATTCAATTCATTTTGTTTATTTTCCACCCTTCACCTCCCATATCAAAGGATGTCGCAGTACTAGTAGATGGAATCAAAATAATCATCTTGTAATCATATATCAATCTAATAACTAAAAGAATGTATCTGAACTAAATGAATATCGTAAAAATTTCACTATCTTTACTTAGACATCACGATATCGTAAACGTTGCTTGTTATGCATTCTGACTTCACATACATCCTTCAAATTGTAACATAATTTGTTCGAATCAACCAAAACTCAAGCCATCATCCTACTTTAGATGTTTTGCCGATGACATACAGCAATTGTGACAAGAATAAGATACATTAAGAAAAGTTATGCTACTAAAAAAGAAAAATAAATGAATGGATTAAACCCTTTTATCGTCCTGAGAAAGCTGGCTAAGAAAGTTGGAAGAACATGCAGATGTATAATGTATCTAAACCTTTTTATAGGCAATGTGGATGAAATCTCTCCACAACCTATGAAAGATTGAAGTGGATGTGTGTGTGTGTGTGTGTTCATAATGAACCTAAAAAAACAAAATCCCAAAAAAAAAAAAAAAAAAAAAGGCCCTGGCCAGCCTTGTTGTAGAAAGTGGCAAAATGCCATGAAAACAACCACATGCTTTCCTTTTGTTTCTCTATCACGCTTTTGTTTTGTTTTTTTCTTTTCTTTTAATTTTCTCCTTTTTTTTTTTCCTATTTGAGTATATTTGTGCATCACCCTCTAATCATTGCTGAAATAAAAACAAATAAGCAAAATAGAGGGATTGACCCCACATTTGAGCCAATAAGTAGAGGCCACTCTTCACTTTGTTATCCAATAAGGCATTTCCAAGTCAGCTTCTTTTTAGAATTACGTCAAACCGATTTCTTATTTTATTGGTCAAAATTCGCAATAAGTCGATATAAAGGGGCAAAACACAATGCATGTTACCTATGTTTTTATTGTTTTCTTTAGCATTAATGGTCAATGAAACAACAAAAACTCACACACTCCATCCCTGCTCCACTCTTGCATATTAATGTGTCTAACGTACTTTAAAACCCCACAAATTCCGCCAATCAGTTAATCTAATTTGGACTATTATGTACTATCACTTTTGCAATAGCCGCCGGCGCGCGACCGGCCAAAATCTATTTATCCGGCCGGCGATGGTTTGACGGTGCCACCTCAAGTCGTGGTATATGTTGGTGACATTTTCCATAGTTATTTTTTTTTTGCCCTTTCTCCTTTCTAGAAAGAAGAGAAACCAAAAAAAAAAAAAAAAAAAAGAGATCAGAGAAAATAGAATAATAAGACCACAAACCATATATATAGAGGGGTTCGGGATTTTAGGAATTTAGTGAGTTAGGCAGGATTTTGAAAACTAGTTAGAAGCCTAGATACCAAAGGTTTCGAGTTTCAACTACTAAGCACAATATTCTTCTTTGTTTTTGATGTTGAACAAGAACAATGAGAGATGATGATAGACCAAATAGTAACTTCTAACACACACATTTAGGGTATTAATTAATTGATAGGTGTAACATTACACCAAATAAAGTTTAGGTTTACCTAATTTTATCTTAATTAATTATCTCTTAGCAAGCAAGCTAAAAAGTGATACAACTAACATGAGTGCATCGAGTAGATTGAAGTAAGTCAAAATTGATAACCTTTCGTATCTTCCTAGGAAAACAATGCATGCGTACATTTCATTCTGATTCAATAGAGATTGTTTTCTTTTCTCCTTCTTTTTCACGTAATAATTACAATGCTGGTTAAAGTAAAATATGAATAAGGCGAATGAAAATGTACGTCGAATTGAAATTTTTATATATATAACTCTTTGAAATGAAAAATCTCTTAAATAAAAGAACAAAAAACAATGTTTATTTAAATATATATGTATATATAGTATAATTTGCAAAATATACTCTGCAGGGTATAAAATGGAATCCACGTTTTTGTTAGACAAGTTAATAACTACCATTCATGTCAATTCTTGAATGAAGCAGCAGCGGTTGAACACATGAATGAATTGATGGTATATATGCAAATTTAATTAATGCATGTCGGTTTGACCCATTTACATTGCTCATAATCATCAGAACTCCTCATGTTATTTTCTAGTATATTAGTTTCTTTGAATTGTCTAATTAATTATTCGAATACGACATTAAAATGGGACAGAAGAAGTATAATGTTGTATGTAAGAATATTTAAGAAAAATGTGCATTCGCCTAATGAAAAAGGCTAGAACGGGTGGCAACTGGGAGAATGAGACCCAAGTGGTTTTGGTCATTTCTGAATTATGACGATGAATGTTGTGTATTTGGAAGTGGTAACATATTATATCAACATGATGATGATGCTGCATGATCTATTGGATCTCTGAGTCTGACAATTTCAGTCAGTAAAAAAAAGAAAAGTTGATGATCAATAATCCCAATATAAAGCCACAGTACATTCTCTTTTACCACGTGAAGGCAATCCCCCGCAGTGAATCAGGACAATAAAATATGTATGAAAATCTAAGTGGAAATTACTGAAAAATTCTTTCTTTATTATCTACCACTCTCTTTATTCCAAAATAATTATCTATTTTGAATTTTTGTTTGTGATATTGAAAATATAATTCCAAACTTGAATAATCATTTCGGGACAGATGAAACACAATTAATCTTAAACGGGTCATTTGTAATTTCTGCTTGTAATTAGTCAAAAGTAGTAGACCAATTATATCAAATTATCAAAATTACATATTTTTCTATCCCATTTTAATAATCAACTTTGTGATCCTGTTTTATTTCAAGAAAATATAAAATTAAAATAAAACGAAGTTCAGAAACCAAGAAAAACAAAAAGAAAGTAAAACGAAGCATTGACTCTGTTAAGGGTATGTTTGTTTTATTTTTTTAGTGTGTATTTTAAGGTATTTTTTTGTATTGAGAATGTAAAAAGGTGTATTGAAAATGTAAAAAGATTTGCTGGGATAAGACAATTATTAATATATTAATTTTAAAAGACCTAAAAAAAAACAAAAAATGTCCATATTTGTTTTAGCCTTTTAACTAGGGGCCGGCTCCTTAATTCGGAAACAAGACATTCCCCAACACCCCCCCCTCCCCCCCAATATTGCATTGTCCACATTGTGAACCTCAAAACAAGTCATCAACCTTTAATATATTTTCACTCTAGGTCATCAATTAATTTATTTGTAACACAGGTTACTTTACTAAATTGTTAATTCATTTCATATTATTCTGTTAATTTTAGCCGTTAAATAGTGACGGAAATTAATTTTTCACATGCTTTTGGGTTCAGGAGTATTTATGTCATTTTTTATTTTTTTAATTTTTTAATCTTTAAATTTTATTTTTTTTTTACAATTCTTCTTCTTATACTTCCTAGCTTGTATACACTGGTAGTATAATTCTAAATTTTAAAAATTTATTTTCCTTTTGTATTTTAACTTCTAGATTATAAATTTTTTTTTAAAAAAATTTAAGAAATGAATAAGAAAAATTTGAGTTAAAGTAAACATGAAAATTAATAATTTACCATTTTAAACAAAAAGAAAAACTAAAAGAATTAGCTAAGACAAGTTGTTTCTTCTAGGTTATTTAATTTTTTTCAACTCGATTGAATTATTTAATTATTAATTTTCACGTTTCTTATTCCTTTTTTTGTGTATAATCTAGAAGTTAAGATACAAATGTCAAACAAATTCATTTTTGAAAATTAATTTGTCATTTTTATATTAACTTGTAGATTATTAAAAAAAAGGAATAAGAAATGTGAAAATTAATAATTAAATAATTCAATCGAGTTGAAAAATAAATAAATAACCTAGACGAAACAACTTGTCTTAGCTAATTATTTTAATTTTTCTTTCTTTTTTTTTTAAATTGGTAAATTATTTATTTTTATTTTTACTTTAACTCGAATTTTTCTTCTTCATTTCTGAATTTTTTTTAAAAAAATTTATAATCTAGAAGTTAAAATACAAAAAGAAAATAAATTTTTAAAATTTAGAATTATACTACCAGTATATATAAGTTAGGAAGTATAAGAAGAAAAATTGTAAAAAAAGAAAATTTCAAAGATTAAAAAATTAAAAAAATAAGAAAATGACAAAAATGCCCATGAACCCAAAAACATGTGAAAAATAGATTTCCGTCACTATTTAACGGCCAAAATTAACAGAATAATCTGAAATTGATTAAAATTTTACTAAGGTAACCTGTGTTACAAATAAATTTAATTGATGACCTAGAGTGAAAATATATTAAAGGTTGATGACTTGTTTTAAGGTTCACTCTTTTTAAAAATAAATAAAATGGTATCAAACTAAGAGTTAAACAATGTTAAAATGTATTGCAAATACATTTCAATCACGGTCAAATTACTTTTGTTTTCTATAGAGAGTAAAAATCTCTCAATAAATATTTATTCAGATGCAAACACAACTAGTTTCATAATTTTTCCACGATCGACCGTGCACACTAAATATTGAGCAATAACAAAGTCGATTGATCCAATAACTTAAACGTGAAGAACAATTTGGTTAAAAAAAAAAAAGAGAGAGTATCTTAGCATGGGTGATCCACAATAAATCATCAACCTGGAAACAAAAATTTTTTTAATAGAAGTAAGAAAACGATCACGAATATGAGGCAAATTAAACGCTGATGAATAGATATTGGAATTAAGAAAAATTTTAGGACCCACTCAAAGCAGAAGAGAAATAAAAATGAAAAAAAAAAAAAAAAACCTATTAAAGTTGTAATTGGTTCGTCGGGTTGTATGTCCCCTCCTCTTTACAACTCAACACATTAATAAAAGTCTCCTCTCCCATCCTCCCTCCCTCAAAACCTCTGCTTCCCCTTCTTCTTCTTCTTCTTCTTCTTCCACCTCTTCTCTAATCTCTTATCATATCCGCCTAACAATTTGGTACCCAATTTTCTTCATCCTTCATTTCATCAGATTGGTTTAATTTCTCTTCACAATCATTTAAGGTAAACTCAATTCCTTCTCCATCTTGTAATCCCCTGTTTTACACACACACACACACACACACACACACACACACACTCAAACAGAGATAATTTATTGCTGTAAAGATGAAGTGATCAGCGATTTATTCCTTGTTTGATCAATTGTGTTGGGTTGTTGGGTTTTTAATTTATGTATGTATGTATGTGATGTTCTCTGGTATTGGGATGATGAAAATATAGAAAGTATTTATGAATCCCATGTGAGAGAAGTGGAGAATGTTTTTGTGTTTGTTGACCAGATTTGGCAAATTTTTGAATGAGAGAAAAAAAAAATCTGGCTTCGGAATCTCATGAAATTCTTCTTCTCTGACAGGTTTGTTGATTCTTTTGGGGGACGAGTTTGTGATTCTTCTTTCATTCCTTCTTTTGTTTGTACCATTCATTCACTAAAAAAGGTGAGGTGAACCGATCGTCATCGGATTGGGGAGTAGACCAACCCGATGGCGTCACCATCTTCAATCTCAAATCCCGAAGCTGCTTCACATCAATCCCGTGAATCCAAACGGAAAAAGAGAAGAAAAATCGGTGCGGACGACGATTCGATTGCCGGACCCGGAAATGTTACTGATCCAACCCGATGGAGATCCGAATCACAGGAACGGATCTACGCCACCAAGCTCGTCGCCGCGCTTTCTCAAGTTCCGAGGGAGCCTGCGTCGTCGTCTGCTCCGGTCTCCGGCGGCCGGGTGGTACGGCAAACCGCCGATAGGGTTCTGGCTGTTGCCGCCAAAGGGAGGACTCGGTGGAGCCGGGCGATTCTCACCGGCCGGCTGAGTTTGAGATTGAGTCAGATTAACAAAATGCACAGAAAGAAGAAGCCCAAGGTTACCGGAGATCACCGGGCGAAGAGGCCGGCGGTAAAGAAGCAATTACCTCCGCTGCAGAAGAAAGTCAAAGTTTTGGGCCGATTAGTTCCCGGTTGCCGGAAAGTCCCTTTCCCCAGCCTACTAGAGGAAGCCACTGATTACATAGCGGCTTTGCAAATGCAAATCCGAGCCATGACCGTAATCTCCGAGCTTCTCACTCCCGGCGGCGGCAACGGAATCGGAAATGCCGGCGGCTCCGGTCAAGCTTAAAAAAGCCTCGCTGATGTATACAAAAAATTGCTAGTTACGGCTGAGGTGTTTTTAGTAACTTTGATAATTTTATAATTTTTTTTCTTCTTATAAAAAAACTGTCGAGAGAGGGGTTTTTTTCTTTTATTTTTTCTCTTTAAGTTTCATGTATTTTATTTGTATACATATCCTTTTTTACCCTTTCGATTATTCGTTTTCCCTCTCTACATTGGTTTAGCCTGTTAGACTTGGTAGTGTGAGTTCATTTTTTTTTTCTTTCATTACCATTCTTTCTTTTTTTTTGGTTTAAAAAAATGGTGATTACTTTTTTTTGGAATTTTATGAATAATTTATTTGTTGATTCGTTTGCTAATCGATTGATTAGTAGAAAGTTGAACATGCCAACTGTGTTATTACTTTTTTTATATTTTGTGTAATATAAACGGTATTAGTTCTTGATTCCTTCCCAGTTGAGGATTGTTATGAACAATTATTGCCATTTTTGTACTACATTTGAATAAAGCATTTGACGTACTCTTTCTCTTAAAATAAATTACTCCCTCCATTTTTTTAATATATTTTTATAGAGAATTCATCAAAACCAAGAAAATATTAAATAATGTAGTTAAATACAAAAATACCCTTATTTATTTTCTATACAATTTATCACAAACAAATAGAAATTCATTATAAATATTGTTTTATTCCCAATGCAGGAGTAACATTAGTAAAAAGTGGTCAAATGTGTCTCGATTTATGAAAACGACATATATTTTTAAAAAATTCACAAAACCCTAAAACGACATATATTTCAAAATAGAGAAAGTATCTATTTATCTCTTAATCGCACTTTTAGTTGCGAGTCAAATATAATTAGTCTTTATGGAGTATAAAATTTGTCACATTAAAAATTAGAAATGCAAGACACTAATTTGGACATAGGAAGGAAAAAAGGTTCCTTGCATTTGTACCATGACAGGTTGTTTTGGGTAAGGAAGATTCTTTGTGTTTTTGTTTGTTAGGCAGATTAGTTCAAATTATGTTCACAAGAATCAAAAGTCGTGGAGAAAAACTTCAAGATGGATAAATTGTATGAATAATGATTCACTTCATCATTGAATCCGTTTGAGCTTTTATATTAATTCATTAGTTCTATTAATTGATAAGAAATTCATTGGTTATATTGTACGTGGTTAATTTATCTGAATGTAAAATATATGTCCGTTTAATACACCTTATATGTGGTTTCTGCCATTGATGGTTTATCGTGGGAAAAAATGGAAGAAGACGGGATATGTTTAATGTTTTTTTTTTTTTTAAGCAGAAAGAAAAAGAACCCGATAAATTAGGAATAAAAGAGCACGATATACTAAGAGGGTATATCTCGAAAATAAATATTGTAACTCATAGTCAGCATATTTTCAAATTTTATTATATTAAATCTCCAAAAAAAGAAGGGCATTGTATGATCTAACCCCTTTTACATAAGTGTTTTAAGATTTTAAGGAAGGGCAGATTTTAAAGAAGGGATATGTTTAATGTTTTATTAACTCAATCCAAAATGGAAAAGAAAACTGAAGCAAAAGATTGTGTCTATTTAAATTTGTAAAAAAAATTGAATAGATAATACGAAGGAATAGTTTTGGTTGGTACTTCTCCAACGAGGCGTGCATGTATACTGTCCACATCGTTGTTTGATCAAACAGTTAATGTATACATGATTAGGATGCCCCCAATAAAACCACATTGGCAGTATCATTATTGAAGCCAAAGACAAAATCACGGCGTCTACGGACAGTGTGTTTGATCTTTGATTAGTTTCAGGGCAGAGCCAAGCCCTAAAGATATAATGAGGCAAAATTTTTGAATTTATAATTTAATATATTTGTGCCTTAAAATTTTCAATTTAAATAGGGTAAAGATTATATTTTTTAAAAAAAATTCTTAAATTTAACGGGGGTATCAGCAAAAAAAAAAATAATAAAAAAATCAGCTGGGCAGTTGCCCCAGTTGACTTGTATGTAGCTCCGCCTTATTTTAGTTCATTCTCATGTAAAATGTAAACAATGGAGATTGAAAATTATAGAAGTTAAAAAAGATATTTTCTAAACAGCAAATCTAAAGATCGAATTCACGAAATAAATTGCTTGCGCTCTCTACCACACTCCATAGGGTTAGATCAAACCCAAGGAGTTGGAGTCAATAATGTTAAAGATTAGACAGATTGAACAATTCGGGAACTTTTATTTTTCTTCTTTGGCCATTTTGTGTTGAAATTGGAAAATGATAAGGACGGTTGAAAATATAAAACAGTTGCAACACCTCAAATATGGACAACCTAACCCCCGTCGGATCGAAAGGACCAAAAAAAAAAAACCCAACAAAAATTGTCACCAGCTTCGTCCAAGTGATAAAGATATTAGACCAGATTTTAGTTTAAATTTATAAACGTATAACGATAACTAAGAAAACCTATTAGAAAATTTTCACTTCTAGTACAAAAGAACTTATCATCATTTCGATAACCATGATTTTAGGTTAACCAAGTACAATAATTTCAAACACTGGATGCCTAATATACCGCGCTAGACGTCCCAAACCCCACAACCAAAACAGCCCAAGGGGGGAGAAGTTGTGGGGAGGAAGAATGGCGCCAAAACAAGCCTAATAAGCAACAGCCGCATGGCATGTGCATGTGCTCCAATGTAAAAAGGCAGCCCCCACCACCCAAAGTCCAAAAACCCAATTTTTTTAAAAAATATATGAATAAGGGCACATGTGACATCCCCCCATTCATTCTAATTACTTTTTGATAACGATGTATATATGTATGCTTTTCGCTTTTCAATGCCCCCCAAATTCAATTTGTTTTTATGTGTGTTATTATGGCCCTTATTGGTATGAATAAATGGGGGAAAAAAATGAAAAAGTTTATGGTGTAGGATTCTTCTTGCTTTCTTTGAACATTTGACATCTACATATATGGTGTATAATTAGGGTTTAGGACCACCACCAAGTATGATGTTTTTTAATTGGTAACGAAAACTACGTTGTACGTACATATTCATTGTATGAAATAATGTGGCAGTGTTAACAATTTCAGAATTTTTTTTGGTTCCGAAAATTGGGTAAAAAGAAAAAAAAAAACCACTACTATTACACGATATTTAACTACTTCGTAAAACAAAGAAAAAACATTTTCGTAATGCGATTTGTGTACATATGTTTTTCTAATTTGTACACATACGATTATTGACCCGTTAATTTTTTGTTTTTTTTCCCTAATTCATTTTTTTTTGGTTGGGAGGACAAAATATTGAAATGGATTGACAATAAATGGGGAAAGGTCACTCTCCTAAAACTAAAAGCCCTTTTCTGCTTTATTTTGGGTGAACACGTGTGCGCCACCATGACTCTCAAGACTATGTAATATTTCTTCAAACCAAGGACCACCCTTTTCGTTGTTGAATGCAAAATGATAAGTTGTTCATTTCCATCTGAAATTCTTCCTCTTTCATTTTTTTTTCCAAGAAATTACATTTCTAATGTTAATTTTCAAATAATTTGGAATATCGGAAACAATTAATTTCTTAGAAATCCCATTCTTGTTTTTTTAATAATAAATTTATACTTGATGTATATGTTAGATGTGTAAATAAGTTGAGCTAGATTTACTGGTATTAATATATTTTTATATTGACCGGTGGGCTATTTTGGTGCTAGCAAAATGAAGTATTTTCGTGGGTTACACTTTTTTAACTCCACATGGTGTGCTGCCTGCAGGTCTAATTGGTCACATGGATGATGGTACCATTTCCGACTTTAATTCCATAAAGCGCTTCTTCTTTTCCTTTTATTTTCTAGCCCATCTTTGGTACATATGGAGTATATCTGACTTTTCTTTTCTTTTTTATTATTATTATTAAAAAAGAAAAACATATGATGAGTTGATGATGACGTGCCTGCCCAAATTTGGCAATTTTATTTGGTTAGATTACGTTAACCCTCTTAGCAAACTTGTTAATTTTATATATGCAGAGATTCATATTATTAACAAATCGCTAAATATAAGTTTAAAATATGTGTATAACGAATATATAATAATTATTTTAAATAAAAAAAATCAACAAACAGAGCCCAACCAATGTTTTCTAATTTTTTTTTTTATTTATAAATGTGAATGTAAATCAATTTTATGTATTGAATGCGAAGCAATTTGTTGTTTTGTGAGGTTATACATATGAACCAAAAAAGACATAATAGAAAAAGAAAGAAACATTTGCATCGACCAGCCGCCATCGCGAGGACCAGAACCAGATAGATTTTTAGTCGGATCGATGCTTTCATTCATCATCTCTCTTTCGGGCACAACCCCAAGCAGATGGAAAAACAAAAGAAAATGAAAAAAGGAAAATTAGACACAATTTTATTTTTGTAAATTGCATGCTTTTTTTTAAAATGTAAATATAGATGTCCTGTTGATATATAGAAGTTATAAAATGTTCAAACAAAGTACGAACATTTTTGGCAAAATCCAGGAATTGAGAGAGTCACAAAACATCAAAAGAAGGGAGAAAGGAATAAGGGATATTCTAAATTACAGTAATACTGTTTAGGTATCAATGGTCCATGGGTTCACTGTATAGTTGTGATTTCTGCAGGCCAAAAAAGGACCATTATTTCAAAACAACAAATTAGAGTGTCTGGTTGTCTCACTAGAAGCTGTGTTATATTCATTGATCTTTCCTTTTCAAACTAATTGGATACTCCGACCTTTCAATATAACAAAATGGAAAACAGAAGAAGAAAAGAGTACTACTATTACTTTAACTCCAAGACAAAGGGACGGTTGGGCATGGAATAGCCACGACAGATTATTGATATTATCATGAGATCGTTGGTTCAAGGTTTGAGATCGTTTTTTACGTATAAAAAAAGATGCGTTTTCTATGAACGGATCATAACTTTTGATTATGTGCTGCCTGATTATACCACAACTTAGTACATATAATATGACTTTGCCTATCCCAACCCAAAGTAGGAGAAGAGGAAGAAGCTGCCATATATAGAATTCTTGCTTATCAGAGAAATATGCGATGCCTTCAACCCTAGTTACATTTTTGAGTTAAAATTTAATAGTTAAATACCAATAATAACATGAGACACATTTTTTGATTGACGAGTGCAATAATAATAATATCTAATAACCGATTTTAGTATTTTACTTGTGTAGGAAATGAGTCATCCCACTAATGTTTGTTTTGAACCACAAGTGTAAGTTGACAATAAAAACAGTCACATCTTTACTCCGGTAAATATAAAAGTGGAACGAAGAAAAAAAACGTGGGAAAATCTAATTGGAGTTAACAATGAAGGAGAGGACAAATATATATATATATATATATATATATATATATGTATAGGGGTGTAAAATGATCTCGTGATAGGGGGGAACAAATTAAACGCGCCAAAAGGGTACGTACACCCAGAAATAGAGGGATCGAAGGTAGTGTATCTATCAAGATAGCTATATATATATATATATTATATATATAATCTCTCCTTTTTTTTAACGAAGGGCTAAGAAATGAGCCACGGAGACAAAG